ATGGGGAGCCTTGGGGGAGGTGTGGATTAGAGAGACCCATGGGGGAAGTGCACACATTCCAAAAGCCCACTGGAATTGGAAGAGATGGGAGAGGCATACTACTCTGTAAGGAATGTGGCATGTGACATGATCCTTTGGGTACCCACACGCTTCGGTGCCTGTGTCAGGGGATGACTTGCTTGGGCTGTGGTGTCAGGATGTCCTTAGTTGGAGCCATGTCTGGAGTCATGAACAAATGCCCCTCCCCTCCTCCTGAGTGATAGAGGGGGAGACTGGAGGAAAAGTGACTTGCCTGCAGTGTTCAGAACCATCCTGTGTGGCTGTTGTTTGGGTAAGAAAATGAGGATCTGAGAGGTGGGTGGCTCCCAAGCAGCCTAGCTGGTGGGAGACAGAGGCAGGGAGAGGCTCCCAGGGGCTGAAACAGGTGAACCACAGAGGCCAGGGTCTGCAGCTTACTCTGCACCCCAGCAGCAACGCACCCTGTTGGCTGTGAGCTCCTGCTCTGCTCCAGCTACAGTAGCTGCCCTGCAAGGCAAGTGAACTAGGCTGTGGCCCTCTGGGAACAAACACGTAAGCCCAGATGAACACTCTGGCAAACTCTGTTGCAATGGATACGCTCCAGTTAGAAGAACGCGAGTCTAGGGCAGTTAACATGCCCAGGAGTCAAAATCTCCAGAGGCGATGCAAGGCCTGTGGGCTGGGCACCCAGACTACGCTGAGCCCCAAGCGTCCGACACAGCTCTGGGAATCTATGTGTCAGGGGGTGTCAGAATGTCTAGTTCAGCTTTCCAAGTGGGCCACTGATGAGTGTCAGTCTTGCCCCCGCCCCCTTGTGCACTGAAAAGAAATTCATATTGTGATAAGTGTGAGGCAGTGGCTCCAGGTGTCAACCCTAAGAGGACTATTGCTCACTAGGCACTCTGCTGTGCCTCAGCAAGGACTGTTAACCAGCAGGGGGCGCACACAATTGGTTCAATGGCCAAGCTACTGAGCTGGCAGCCCTTTGTCTCCAGCTGGCCAAAAGCATGGTTTGGTTGCTCCTTCATCTGATACAAACAGAGCAAATACGAGGTAGCAGTGGTGGGGGGCAGGGAGAATTGTGTACCAGCCACCTGAGGCCCTTTTCTTAAGACAGAGGAAACTGTCCCACTCTGAGCTGTGGGAGCTGGCAGCACACTCCTGAGACAAGTGTGCCTGTCTTAAAGACGTAGGCAACACTGGATCTGGCATACCCTGTTGGCTTCCTGCAGTGACCAAGGCTGGTGGGTTCTCATTTTGCACCTGCCACACAGCAGGACTCCCTCTCCCTAGTTCTTTCTCAGAGAGGTTGGAACAGAAAGAACAGAAGGGGTCATTAAGCGTTTACGCTGTGTCCTAGGAAAGTTTCCATTGTGTCATGGGTGCCGCCCGAGAGCCCCGCTGGACATGTACGTATCTGTCTGTCTGTCCGGCCTTTTGATGCATACACACTGAAGCTGTTCCACAAGATGGACTTCCCCACTGCCTGTCCCCACTAAATGTCTGAAGGAACAAAGAACAGCCTGCGTCGACCACTTCCTCCCATCAAGGCACCACTAAAGAAGGGGGTAGCATTTGATGATGATAACCCCAGCCATAGACAGAATGGGGGAGTGGTGCAGGCTCGGGGGCTCACCAGGTCTCACACAGCTTCCCATGGCCTGTCCGTGCAGGCAGACTGATCACTGTGCACAAGATGGTCATGACCCAGACCCCCTCCTGCCTGCACTATGTGAGCCATTGTTTTTTATTACATACATCACAGTCATCCGACCCGATGGACTGCGTGCAACGATGGGAACCAGGCAAGGTTTCCCGCTACAGAGTCGAGTCAACACAGACACCGACCTTGGAAAGCTATCCTGGAGAGGGGGTGGTCCCTAAACCCTCCATGAAATAAGCACAAGAAGACAGATGCCACAGGGGATGACAGAGAGCTTAGGGACAAAGATGCGAGGGGCAGCTGGCGCTGTTCCCAAAATCAGGTTCACTCAATTTGCCCACAAGCCCTGGGAGGGCGTAGTACACTGACCCAACTTACAGACCCACCCCAGCAGCAGTGCTGGCTCCCTAAGGCGTTGGGCAGGAGGCATGGCAGCCTAAAAAAGAAATAGCACCTGCCACCAGAAGCAATGAACACCAGCCTGGGGTGGGGAGCTCATTCAAGAGACCAAGGCCTGGTACAATGAATGCTTGAGGATCCTGGCTGGATTGGGGGAACAGCATCTGTGTGACTGACGTGACTCAGGCTGGGTGGGACTCAAAGCCTGCATATGCTGGCTGGGGCCAAGCCCCAATTCCACCTTATAGGTGAGCTTACGAGTAACACTGGTGATTCACGCAGATGCATGCAAAGCACAGCTCAGCTTGCTGGGAAGTGTGATGCAACCGACAGCAAGGCCTTTCCAGTGTTTGGGGATATTTAAACGTCCCTGGGGGAGAGCTCCAGTTGCTCCCTCCTCTCCAGAACTTGCGTTTCCCAAACACCCAGATCTGAAATGACAGGTCCCATGCTGGAACCTCTGTTCTCCCATTCTGTGTAATTACTGGTATCAAAGTGAGGGTCTTTGCAGTTGTTATTGTCGTTGTCTGTGTTTGTCTTGTCAGCAGAATTTCAGGGTATGTCGATATCAGGGGCCTAAACACCATTTGGAACATGGTCTTTGTTGGACAATGTGCTCTGCATCCAACAGGATCCCTGACCATGTGGAACTCTATCTCCCTGCTTGCTCTGCCCCCCTAGGTGGTAGAGACATTAAGGGAGAGGAGCAAAGTCCCATGTCAACAATGGCCCTCCATGTCCACCTCTGCCCACCAGGTCTCCCTCACTGCACCCCTTCCCCGTGTCGGGGTCACTGAGGCAGATGCACCACCAGAGGCCTGAGCCACAGGGACTCTGACATGCCTAGATTTCAACCCCTGCTCTCACTGATCTTATTGTGAAAAACCCAGCAAGGCAGGTGCGGCAACAGCCATAAAAGCCTCCAAAGCACAACTAGCAACCAAGAGGAGCAATTCAGGACTTAATAAAGTGTGAAACTGACAGCCTTCCTGGCAGTGAGCGACCCCACATCATCTTCCCATGGCATCTTAGAATGACCAGAAAGTGACCTCCAGGACGATTCCATCCTAATCTGGTCTCAGGTTAAAGCTCACCTCTGTTAGCCTGGGAACTAATGAGATCCCTTTCAAGGCACACAGGCGTAGAATCGGCTCCAAGACCTGGTGGCCCAGCTGACAAACGGGCAAAGGCTTTCTTAACTGAGTGACTTGAGCAGGTAGCTTGCCTTCTCAGAGCCTTTCCCTCAAGGTGCTCTGTCCTGAGCAGTGGCCCACCCACGTCCCTGCAGCAATTTGCTTGCACCTGTTTTTCATAGAGCACACCCATGGAAGCTTATTTTAAAACACAACCTGCACCACATCCTAAAGGAGGGGGTCCCAAGTTTTCCCAGTGGCTCTTCCAAGACTCTGACTTAGAGCCAGCCATGGGAAGATGACTGGAGAAGTACCTGTGCCTCCTCCAGCTGGCATTTTCTCTGCATGTCTCGCCCTTGGAGCAAGGCTGAGGAACCTGGGCCAATGCTAAAGCTCTCCTCTGCAGCTCAGCAGGACAGGGAAACGAGGTGGGGCAGGGGCAGGTGGCAAAGGCCTGTGGCCACACCTGCAGCTGCTCTGTGATGGGCAGCAGGGAACAATGTGGGTCATGGGCTGGCGACCCTGGCAGGCAGCTTCCCTTGGCCTTTGTGCTTGTGGAAGTGCACCTGCCAAGTAGGTCAGGATGTGGTGGGGTACCCCGGAAATCCTGTGAGATCCTCGGTCGGTCGGGAGAACAACAGATGTGCAGCCCTTGGGCCCCCTCCTCTTTTCCCTGAAACAAAGTGTCAGCCTGCAGTCAGGGCTGAGCCAGTGCAAGGCAGTTATGTAGGTCACAGTACCAGTCATGCTGTGGGGGACAGGAGGCATCAGAACTCCAGGCCACTGTCCCAGCCAACCCTTTCTGAACCCTATTTGAGGAACCTAAGGCCTTGAGAAAGGCAGGGAGTTGCTGGAGTTGCACAGTGTGACCTGGCCACCCAATGCCCTTTGGACTCGGTTGCTGTCCTCCAGCCACAGCTCCAGTTAGAAATTCTCTCTAGGTTCATTACGCAGAGAAACCCCTTCAAAACATTTTGGGGAATTTCCCTTTATATGTTTTTTGTGTACTGTATATGCACATGCATATTACATTTTTAGGAAGGTGGGGTTCTATATGTACTACTAGTCTTCTTCCTGTTTGGTTGCTGTGTTTCTTTACACACTTCCCCCTGGTCCCTCCAAGCATCATCGACCTTGCCTGGCTCCCCTGACCTAAGGTTCCAGCAAGGCTAGGTGGTTACCGCCAAGAGACCCCTTAGGGCCTGCACATCCCTTCTATTAAGGGTTTCCCCAGAAGTTATATACCTGAAGTAGACTTCCATTACTTTCTTAGGGTAGAAACAAGGCAGCACTCACCAGTGCTCAGAAGCAGAGGCTTCTAGAGACAGGCCATTCTGCTTAAAGTGCCAGCTCGACTTCTTCCTCATTGCTTCACCTGCGGTGTGTTCCCCAACTGATCTTTTCTGTGAACGCCATGGTGGGGAGAAGTCCGGTGGTACTGTACGAGAGGTCATACGGTAATTATCTTCCTATCTTGCAGGAAATAGAAATTGACTGACCCAGTGATGGGGCTGTTGTGGGGGTCACTGTGGCTGCTGGATTGGACCCTGGGTGCACCCAAAGTTCATGGAAAAATGGAATGTGAAGATAAGTTTATTTTGGTGCAAAGAATCTTGAAACTATATATACATATATTGGCATACATATATATGTGGTCTGACATTCATAACTATATACATATATATAGTATGTGTGTATACTTTGTATCTATATATGTGTCTGTGTTTATATATACATGTATGTATATATATACACATATATGTATATATGTGTTCTTCCAAAAGTTCATAAAAAGATGTGCGTTAGGAAAAAAGGGTGGATTTAAAAAAATAGACTTCCATTTTCTCATGAACTCTGGAATGCATCCTTACACATGATGAACATCCGGTTTCTTTACTCAAGGCATGAAGCTCCATGCCTGAGAAGGCGCAAGCAGCTGCCAGACTTTGTTCAAGAAAGTTCTAGATCAAAGGGAAGCAGGGGTGCCTCTCTCAGCAGGCTTTCATATCCCACTGTCACCAAGGGTTTGGCTCCTGGTTCCGTGGTGGATCAGGCAGGTTCTGAGAAGCCTGGCCCATGGTGTTCAGGAGATCCAAAGCACACGGGAATAGTTCACCATGTGGGAACCAGGATGGGTATGAGCTGCTGGCACACAGGTGCTGCGTTCCATTCCTGGTGGTGACTCCCTGGCAGCATATGTCCCTTCTGCACCATACGTTCCCTCACGGTGCCCAGTCACAGCCTGACCAGAGATCTGAGACAGCAGTAAGGTCCCCGGCGGGGAGTGCAGCACCTTGGCAGGCGGGCCCGGCCCTGGCGTTCTCATCAAGGAGGGATCCGGGAGACGCTGACTGGGATTCCTGTAGACTGCTCTCCGACAGCAGCTGTCGTACAGGTGACCTGCCTCTCCATCTTCTCCAAGAACGTGAGGCAAAAGTTTGGATTCTGTCTAGTGGGATTTCATAATGAAACGACAACGAACCTTTTCTCTGAGTAATAGCTTTCAAAAAGACATTGAGTCTTGACAGCTAAAATTAAATGGGGTCAAAAGGATCTGTCTTTGGAGATCATCTCTTTCATTCGTCTCATTTCTCAGAAGACAAAACTGAGGCCCAAGGTCGCATAAAGACAATATCATCGATCCACAGCCTGGAGGGACAGTGAGGGGTTCTCAGCAGGCTCCTTTGACCTGAAACCTACAGGTCTCATGGCGGAGGAGGGGGTGGGAGAAATCCCACCCTCGCTGAGTTAGTGTTAATTAACTCATTTTTCTTTTGCCCTTTCCTATTGTTCCTAGAAGCAATTTCGTCTCTGGTCCCCTCTCTCCCACTGCATAAAACTGTCACAGATTAAATCAAATTGTTCAGCTTTTTCATTAGGGAGCCTCCAGCTTTCACTCTCAGGGGCATTCTCACCGAGAGGCTCTCTCTCTCCCTCTCTCTCTCTCTCTCTCTCTCTCTCTCTTCTAACTTAACTCCTTCCTGGAGATTATGAAGCCAATGAGCAGACCACTGAGGAGCTCTGCGGTGGGCGTTTTTGCTGGGCTGAGGGACCAGCTGCAGCCCCTGCTCTCACGAAGCATCCAATTCAGCGAGCACACCAGGCTGGAGTGCTGCGACAGGGAGGGCGTGCGGTAGACCAAGCACCTGGGCAAGCAGGAACAACTGCCTTCTTCAGCTCACAGCCCTGGGTATGTTGGACTTGGGTTTTATAGATGGATCTCAGTTTTCCTATCTGGACAGTTTCAAGCTGGCAGGTTCCTTTCCTCACCCCATCACCCTCTAGCTGATCCTGGGGACTTCCCCACAAACAGCATGTGAGCATGTGCGAAGGCATAAATGTTAAGAAGAATGGCGATGCTGGAGTTCATGATGACAGACAGCTAGTCTTCCTGACTAGTGTTCTGCCATGGCTGTGATTAACAGTCCCTGCCTGTTGCTCAGACCTGGCTGCAGGAGTGAGGATCAAAAGGGGGAGGGGCTGCAGGGCTGGAGGCAAGGGGTGGCACAGCCTCTGGAGGACAGGGCAAATGGGGATAGAGTTCAGGGCACAGTGGCTAGGTACTTCCTAACCGCTGCTACCACATGTCAGGTGCAAAAGAGAAAAAGGCGTTGCCAAGGGTGCCAGGTGCACCGAGGTTAGGGCCCACTGCAGAAGGCAGGGGTCCAACTAGGCCAGCTTGCACCTGTGTCAGAGTTATCTCCCAGGCTGAGGAATTTTCTCTAGGTGGTCAAAGGCCTCAGTGATGACAGACTGGACAGCCAAGGCATAGGAGCAGCTTGGGATGGAGGGGAGGCAAAACAGCCGACCCAGGAAGAATTAGGAGCAGGAGGTGGTGGGTGGCCTGCATGGCATAGTCTGTCTTGGGGTCTGTGTGGGATATGTGGGAGAGCCTATTGACAGCACATACCACATGTGTGGTTTCTGAAGACTACATGGGATCATTTTGCATGTCATAAGCCTAGTGTGGGGGACAGCCTGTGCATGTTACATGCCTGCTTTGTGAGGGCTCTATGGGATAGTCCGCATATACCACATGCATGGTTTTTGAAGTCTGTAGGGGATAGCTTGTACGTATCACATACCCACGTTACGAGATGTGTGTAGGACAATGTGCTTTGTGAGGTCTGATGGGGAAGTCTGTAGTCACACCCACTTGGAGATGTTGGTGAGGCCCCTGCACCTGACACGCATGTTCTTCTTAGGGCTGTGAGCCCTTCAGAATCAAGAAAAGGCAGTTGGGTTTGCTCCTTCCCTGGTAAGGGCTGAGATGGGGCCTTTGGTTGGTGCCTGTCTCTATTGTGCCTGTGGTCTCCCAGGGTGCTGGCCTTCTCAAGGCACTGGCTTAGATCCCACATTCCTCTGGTGCCCTGCAAGTGTCTGCTGGGCTGAGGGAAGGAAGCTGGGTCCCATGTCTTTCTGCTCTCACCACTGAGCATGCCTTCGGAGTGCCTTCACTGAGCCAGGGGCTGCTGTCGGATGATGCTCTTCAAATCTGCCCAGCTCACAGAAGGACCTACCAGGACCGAAGGTGTCCCCTGGGAAAAGGAGATGGAGGGCATGGGAGGGAAGGACCCAGGCCTCTCATTTCCTTGGGCCTCACTCTTTGCCAAAATCAGAAGATGGGATTTGCGCCTGACTTTGAACCTGAAGCCCCCTCCAGTCCCATCTTTATGCTGCAGTAGAGGCATTTGTGAATTTTGCAAGCATTGTAATCACCTGGGGAATAGTATGATGTGTCACTTTAAGTTATGCATGAAAACTGTTGGTGTACTTGCTTAGCATATACGAACTTTTAAAAATCCCTCATTTGGTTTCCCTAGTTTCTTAGCTATGCTAGGCCTCTCACCAGATCCCATCTGCTGCTCGCCGCGATCAGACAGCCATGCAAACCTCAGCATCTTTGGGAAGGCCCTGCTCTGAGAGCTCCATCTTCCCAGAGAATGCTTATGTGGTCCCTGACCTAGGATCATCCAAATGACCATGTGTATAGGTGTTTGATGCTTTGTGATAGTGCAAAAGTGATGCACTTTCTGCAGAAACTGCCCTAGAAAGGTTGAATTTCCATCTTCTTCCTGGTTAACAACACAAGATACCACCCTTGCTTGTGGTTCCAGGGCATTACAGCTCTCTTTCAGACCCCCCAATCCAGGGGGATCGCACAGTGTGCAGCAGCTTAAGCGGCTTAGATCCACTTCCAAATTGCGGTGTAAGCAACTCTAAGCGGATGGGTTTATCAGGATGATGCCTGGCACAAGCTGAGGGGCAGCTGGACGTGTGAGGAATAGAGATGGGAATGGAGGAAGCCCACTGGGAGCTGGCCGACTCTTCCAAATTTCTACCATCTGGATGCTAAGAGCAGAGATGGGACATATTTGCAGTTGGTCTGCTCCTGTCCCTTCCCTCGGGGCTCTGTCCCCACCAGACAGGAATAGCTGTGGTTATAAGCCTTTTCCACCCATCCCACACTCTGTCCTGTGACCCTCAAGTCCCTTTTCAACGCACGTGCTCCAGGGCCCAGAAGTCACATGTTGACAAGGACATACAAGACACCAGGAAAGAGATGGGAAATGCGCACACCTGGCCTGTACAGCACCCCAGGCCACTCAGCAAGTTCCTCATGTGCTGTGCATCAGTGCATTCTGTGGCCATTGCCAAAGGCTCTCCTGTCATGATCCAGCAGGCAAACACAAACCAGCTGCTTGCTCAGGATTGGCTACCTGCCACATGAAACCAACTGCAAATCTAGCTGCACTATGACCTTGACTGGTCACCTCTTTTTGAGACTCCGTTTTCTTCATGGCAAAATAGGTACACGGAGACACGGGTTTGAAGATTCTCAAAAAGTGATGGCAGAGGTGCAAGTCCCCGAGCATTTTTTGTTAACAAAACAAAAATTCCAGGGGAGAGGTGAAAGGAAATGGGAACCCAGCGGACCCTCTCTCCCCTTCTACCTCCTCTGAGCTGTGTGTACCCTGAACTCCCACCAAGCACCTGCCGGTGGCCATGGCCTGTGAGCACCGGAAATGCAGTTCGGCTTCTGGTAGAAACCCTGCCTCCTCAGAGCAGAGGGATGGAAACTTCTGCCCCCAACAGCCTTTGCTAGAAACTTCCCTCTCTGTGGTTTGTCTCTGTCATTCCCTTGATAAAAGAAGCTGAGCTGCCATGTAACCAACGCTCACACATCACGTCTTCACACACACGTAGACGCCCCTCACGAGCAGGCTGCCTGCGCAAGGATGCACCATGCGCTCTGAACTGGGGCATTCTCCGTTGCCAGGGCGTGCGGCGCGGCTGATTTTCCGTGTGTGTATCCTGTACCCCAGGCTCCAAGTGACCCCTCGAGACGGAGAGATGGGGAACAGCATGAAATCCACCCCGGCACCTCCTGAGAGGCCTCCACCCAGCTCAGATGGTAAGTTTGACTCTTTGCTGATTCGCCTGACTCTGTTCTAGAGAGACAGGATGAGACCAACATTGCTGGTGGGTTTTGATAACTGCCTAACAGGGCAGCGACACCTGGGAGGGCGTCAGGAGACTGGTCTCTGTGCCGAGTGTGTGACCCAAACACTTTGCCATGCAAAGTGCAAGAGCATGAAGTGTGTGGCATCTCTTGGCGAGGCTGAAGAGTCAGCCTGTGGAGGTAGCTCTTGCAGCTGGCTCAAGCCCTTTGTTTTGTAGATGAGGAAATTGAGGGGCCCAACAGGATTGCTTGCCATCTTCAGAGTCCGATTTCCAAGCCAGGGCCTGCTGATTCTGAAAGTCAGTGACTTATTTACCATTGCTACATGGTTAGCTGCAAATGACATATCAGTGTCCCACCACAAAGGCTGCCCCGTAGAAAAGAAAGAAATCCTGTGTCCCCGGGCAGGAGGACAGGAGGACAGTGTTCAGTAAAGACTTTCGTTTTTTTTTGAAAGTTAGTGTTACGGAGATAAAGGGAGAGATAGAGCTTTGTGCCTGCTGATTCATTCCACAGATAGCTGCCACTGTCAGGACTGGACCAGGCAAAGCCAGGAGCTTAGAACCCCACCTGGGTCTCCCATGTGGATGGCTGGGAACCAAATGCTTGGGCCATCATTTGATGCTTTCCCAGGCACATTAACAGGGAGTTGGACTGGAAGTAGAGCTGTCAGGACTCAAACTGGTGCCCATATGGGATTTTGGCGGCACAGGTGGCTGCTCACCCACTGTGTCATAACAACTCCCCAGAACAACCTTTGGAAGAAATGCCAGGTTGAGCTGGTCTCTCACAGCTACAAACAGTCCCCCAGCAACCATGGAGGGACAGCATAGAGCTGAAGGCCACGGCCGAGGATCAAATCCACAATGCCTGCAGCTCAGCTGTACTTGTGATTGTACCAGCCTTGATTTTACCGCTGAGAGTTTCAGATGCTGGCACAGGGAAGGGGCCACATTGTGCGGGTGCCTTGGAGGTCAAGGAGGCCACATGTCCACCAGCGTCCACAGGCTGACCAAGGGTGACTTGGGATGTGGGGGCCTTCTCCCTTCCTTCAAACAGTGGGTTCTAGGGAGTACCTCCTATGCGGTGACAACATTGGACTTTCCCAGGTGCTATAGCATCTCTGACAGCCCTCCTGTCTGCCATGCTGGGCTCTGCCTTGCTTTAGGCTCTTGCTTCTTACCTAGCTTCAGTGGAACTTTTCACAAAGGGACCTTTCTGCTTCTTCCTGGTTGCCTGCTTACACATTGAGATGGATGCTTGTAAGTCCCCATGTGAATGTGGGAAGACCTTACCAGCCCTACTTGCCAGTCAGACTCAGCATAATCTTAGTGCAGTTAGTTTTCAAGCCTAGCGACTCCCCTTATCACACTGATGGAGGAAAAGCAGGAATGTTCCCAGTAGTTCAAGTGCAATTTGGAGCAGAGTATGTGTGCTGCCTGCCCCTGACAGGAAGAGAATCTTCCCTCTCCCACATAAAATCCAGGACATGGCACACTTGGGCAGGCTGCCCCCTCCTGCTGCCACCGTTGGAAGGCAACTTGGGCTGCTGTTCTCACCTTCTCCAAACTGGCTCAGGTCATGGCCTCCTCTGCTGGTCAAAAGCAGCATTAGAACATGGCAGTGCCATGCCTAGGATTGGGCAGGCTTGGCAAGCCTTGCCCCAGACAGCCTCTCATCCAGAACTCAGGGCATGGCTGAGCAAGTCCCTGGCAAACAGTGGCAAACTCTGAAGACGCTTCATCTGACTTTCTTTTTCAGATGCAAATTGGGATGGGAGCAAATTTCTCTTTTTCCATTATGTGGGTTGGAGGTCACCTCTAAAGACAAGGAGAGGGGTCTCCCCACCCCACCGCCCCCTGGTTAAGAAAATTCCCCAAGTCGTACCCAGTTTGTGACCAGGCAACCACATCAAGCACTGGTGTGTTGCCTTTTCAACCCCTCAAGCCCCCAAATTCCCCGTATCAGCTGTCCCATCTTTACTTCCTTTTCTCTCTTACATCAGCAATGCAGCAAGGGATGGCACAGCTGGTGACACAACAGTCCCTGTCTGCAGGATGCCATAGGTTGGGGTCCTCATGGAGCAAACTCCCTCTCAACCAATGTCCCCATCCTCATAACTTTTTCGGTTAAATTTCAAATGCTTGGGAGGGTGGGCAGGTCCTGCTGTTTGCTTTAGGCCACCACTAGTGGGACCTGAAATTCAATAATCCTATATGAGTAGGGTGGCTAAGTTTGCATGGTCTATGAGAATGATGTTATAAATGTCCAAATGGCCCACTGCAGAAAAAAGGTTCCTACTCCTGCTCTGGGCCCTCACTCAAGTGTAGTAGCCTCCTTTGATGTGAGGTAAGCAGTCTATAGGCCCAGGTGTCCCCGGGGTTGGCAATGTGGCAACTGAGGAGCTTTTCCTATGCCAGACATGGGATGGCAGGGCATAGGGCTCTGCACATCTGCCCCAACCTAGGCTTTCCAGCACATTCTCTATTGGTCTGTTTCCAGGACATGAACTACACTGTCACCAAGTCCACAGGGACAGCAGGACTGGATGAAAATGGGGCAGGTTTCAGAGGCAAAGAGCCCTGATCCAGGTTTTAGAAATATGAAGCGCCTCACAGAGGCTCTGCAGTCATAATCTTTCCCCATAACAAATGGAGAAACTAAGACTTGGGGCAAAAATAATCACAATAATAACTTTACATCTGGAAGTGGGAAGGATGCCCACAGCTCTTGGTAAGAAACAGTCAGGGTGGGTATTTGGCACGGTCGTCAAGTGGCCACTTGGGATGTCTCCCATCAGGAAAGCCTGCTTGAAGTCCTGGCTTTGCACAACCTGGAGGCAGCAGAGGATGGCCCAAGTCCTTGCGTTCCTGCTGCCACAGGAGAGGTCCAAGTCAGGTTGTAGACTGCTGGCTGTGGCCTGACGCAGCCCTGGCTATTGCAGGCATTTGGGAAGTGAACCAGTGAATGAAAAATCTCATTAAAAGTAAGTAACATCTTATCAAAGACAAAGAAATGACCACTGTGTCCCAAGGAACAACACCAAGGCAGGCCGGTCCTGCTCTGAATAAGTTGTCCAAGGGCTGAGTTCTGCTTGGTGTGACTCTTCCGTAGGGCTCGTCTCTTTTACACACTTGTGCGTGTTGTTCAATCTGAGGCCTTCCCGGGGGGAGCCATCAGCAAATGCTGTGCGTCTGAAGCAGCTCCTGTTCTCAGCAAACGCTGTGTGTGTTAGGATGAGAAGACATTCTCACATCGGCCTGCTTTTGGCGGCTACCGGCCTTGGGGGAGGCAACCCTAACCCCGTGGCTCCCAAAAAGGATGCCAGTTGCCACTGAGCGAGGCCGCCCTAAGCACGTGACTTTGCATGGATGCTTATTCTGATCAGACAAGGCTCTTTGTATACATGAAGCAGCCCGGCTCAGGTTAGTTAAAAATACAATCTTCCCCAAATCACAGAGCCATTAAGCAGTGAAGGTGGAATTTAAGCCAGGTCTGATTGATTTCAAAGTCCATTCTCTTTCTACAAAGCTCTTCCGAAAATCCTCCCTGGAGTTCTCCTTTCACACTTGGCACATATTTCGCGACTAAATTCATTTCCTTATCTTAAGCCTGCAATAATTCTACCCACTTCCTCTCATCCCTCACCTATCTGATGAAATCCAAGCGCTCAGCCTGTCAGAACGCCAGGGGCCCCAGGAGGACATGATGGTGTCTTTGAGCCTCAGGAGCAAACCTGCATTTCTTATTCGACATTGATTTCGCAGTAGACCCTGAAGCTCAGGATAGTCTCAGCTCCTGAACTTGCCAGGAGAGCCCTCTTCACGGCCGAGTGCAACTGGACCTGGCCCAGCACCTTGTGCAATACTGTCCTGCTTTCTAATGCTCATGATATAGGAAACCAGGATTGCACAAGTTGCCCTGCCAGGGACCAGACGTGCCCACAAGTCTGTAAGCTAAAACCCAGATGCAAGAACTGCCCAGAGCTTTTTCAGGTGTGAGAGCATCAACCGGTCACCATGGAAACTGTAATGGAAGCTCCACTTGATTATTGTGAAACCTACACTCTCCAGGCCCTTTGTCTTGCCTGCAACCATTGTGTTCCTGACAATATTGGTGGTTTCACTTTCTTCTTGTTTTGATTTAGAAGTTATCTTGCTTACCTGAAAGGCAGAGTCATGGAAAGAAAGAGACAGAAAGAAAGATCTTTCACTTGTTGGTTCTCTACCCAGATGGCCACTAGCCCAGGACTGGGTCAAAGCCTGACTCCTGGAACTCCACCTGGCTCCCTTATGGCTTCTGTGTGACCAGCACCTGGCTCATCCTCTATTCCTCTTCCTGGTGGTCGGAAGTGGTGCAGCCAGGACTCAAACTAGTGCTCCTGCAGGAAGCTGGCACTATAAGTGGTAGCTTACCGTGCTGTGCCACAGCACCGACCCCTACTTTCAGATGGTTTTGAACATCAGAAACAACAGTTCTGTCGCACAGTCTGCCTCCTCACTCTGACATCCATTGCCAAGCCACGTGCGACACAGTTTATCTCAAAGTTCTCTTCCTGGCACACGTTGCATAACCTGTGCCCCTTGTTTCAACACTGGTTTTTCACAAGGAACTTTTGCCTTGGCTGCTCCCCACAAGTCAGATTCTGCCTTGACTATGTTAAAAACATGGCACCATGACTATTTCTAAGGGTGCATTAGCATAAGTACTGCACCGTCAACACGCCTTCCCCACGATGTCCATTCTGCACAGGCTCACCGCTGTAGGACACACCTGCTCGCACTTTGGAGCTCACTGTCGGTCAGAGAGGGGGTCAGTCTCCATGGTCACAGCAACACAAAGATGCATCTTGGGTGAGGGGTGATGGCTTCAAAGGGGCAGGAGGGTATGGGAGGAGCAGGAAGACGAAGGCACCTCTAGAGCACTGGAACAGGGGGCTCTGGCCTTGACAGAGGCTTGGGGGAGTCAGGTGGTGGGGGGCAAAGTGTTCCAGGCTGAGGCAACTGCCTCTATAGGGGTTTTGAGGCCCAGGAACATGTCTGCTTTCAGAAGCATCCAGTCAAAAGTTACACCAAGCAGAGGCCATGAGGACTGCACTAACAAGCAGTTCTGTCCATCCAGGAAGAACAGAAACCATCACGGAACTGGAGGTCAGACCCTGGTCGTACAGATGAGGAAAGTTAGGCTGGTTCATTTGCCAAATGTGGCCAGCCTAGACCAGAGGTTAGCATCCCCAGGCTGCAGGCATCTTTCCTGGAGGACTGAGCCATCACGTGCCTTAGGCCTCCTCACTGGCCCAGCACCACCCTGCACTGCTCCTCATGTTGTGCTTGCAATTTCAGGTTCTTTTTCTTAGGTGGACCTCCACATTTGCATAAGCGTCTCGCTCCGACAAATTCAGATTGGCCCCTTCTTAGAACTCGGGACTTGTGGCTGCCAAGCTGGCCTGAGTTCAGTGCTACAGGCCTGAGTCACATAAGGAAAGCCTTCCTGATTCTTTTTTATGAAATTCAGTGAAGGAGAATGTGAGGGAACCCCCTCCTGGTAGGCACAGGGAAAGTTGGCAGGGAGGCAGGCCTGAGGCCCTTGCCTGGCCAGTCCTGCCATGGTCTTCCATGCTTTTTTCCAGGAGTTCTTTCCAGAACTCTGAGCTGGAAAGTGTCAGAGACCACTTAATATTTCCATCTCATACCAGAAACTCTTGCTTTTACCTTATATGCTGTTTGTGACTCAATTTCCCCAAGGAATTTGTTTATGTACCTCTGATTCATGTATACCAATTGGTAACCAAATTCTTTTCTGGAAGCATCATTCATATCTCTGACTTGTTCTAGCCCGTGACATTTCCTTGACTTTATCAAAGAGATGTGTGATGTGGAGCCCCTTAGACATTGGGGCTGTGAGAGGCAGGGTCTGCGGCTCCCAGCATGGGGGTCTTTGGATCCTAGAAAGTAACCCACTTGGGCACGGAACAGGCGTGCCTTTGAGCTGAAGCTTCCTCCAGACTTCCCTACGCTGAGGATCAGGGGAGTGACACCTGCCAGGACTGTGTCCGTGTTCTCTAGAGCATGAGTTCATGCACGCTTGGCTGATGGCAGATGCTTGCCGAACAGTCGCTGGATGAATGGCGACATGGTGCATTCCCAGTCTTCTAAGTTCAGATGCTCACCCAGCAGGTGTAGGGGTCTTTGTCAAGGCCAGCAATGACTGTGTTTGCTGATTTGGAACACAAAGGACATCCCTAGAAATGTAACCCAAGGCTACTCCACATTGAATGCATCTTAACTTTAGTAAATCACTAAGGGAGGGCAACAAAGATATTGCTTGGTATCAAAAATCAAATTTTGAGGTTGGTGCTATTGTCATTGCTGGTGATACCGGCATCCCATATTGAAGCACACGTCTCAGTGCTCTTGCTAATTTGCTTGAGAAGGCATTAGAGGGTGGTCCCAGAGTTTGGGACCCTGCCATCCTTGTGGGAGACCTGGATGGTGGCTCCAGACCTGACTATTGTGGCCATTTCAGAAGCAAACAGGTAGCTAGAAAATCTCTTTTCCCCTCCCTGTCTCTGTCATGCTACGTTTCAATAAACAAACAACTCCATGTAAAATAAAAATAAATTCCTGCATCATCACTTCATGTCTAAAGTAAGAAGTGTTCACAGGAAACAACTATATAGTATTCTCCCCCTTTCAAAATCTCAGCAGAATTGTTCTCAATGCACACACAATAAAAAGTGTCATTTTCTTCCTCTTCCCTCGGCCCAGACAAACATATAGCCTTATGTGCAGGAGTTTCAAAAAAGTTCATGGAAAATGAACATATGCAAAAAAGTTTTGAGCACGGAGCATGTTTTTTGCATAATACACATTTTCCACGAACTCTGAAGAGTCCGCCCGTTCTACGAGCGGAGAGCGTTTTCTTTTGCCTCAGCGTTGGTGACCTCTCTCATGGTGCTGCCACAGAGCTCTTTCCCTAGAGGGTCCCTGCGGCAACAGGAACAAGAGCCACTGCTTTCTATTTGAGACAGAGACCGACACAGTGCCCATCTGCTGGTTTGCACTCCTCCAGACTCCCACAATGACTGAGGCTGTGTCAGGCCCAAAGCTGGGAGCTGAAAGCCTCGTTCTCCCACATGGTCAAGGACCCAGCTACTTGAGCCATCCCTGCTGCCTCCCTGCATTAGCAGGAGGTTGCCCTCAGAAGCTGCAGCCAGGAAAGGAATTCCAGTGCTCCAACATGGGGTGCTCCGAAGGCATTTCTACCATTGCAAGGTGCTGCAACAAACTTGCCTTTCATCTCTCAAGGACCCTGGAGGGGGACACATGGTTATGCTCTCGGAGAGAATGAAAGGCCTTGGTGGGGTGATACAGGAACAGAACCGGAAGCCTGACCCTGGGACTTCTACCCTTAGGTCTTAGGCTATTGTTTTTTCAGGTGTAGACACTGGGGTCAAGACAACTCGAAGGCAGAGTCACCTATCCTGGGGTCCTGTAGGTGTCTGTACCTGTCACCCCTTGGGGGTGAAGTTTCCAAGGAGCCACTTCCCTCCACAGCCTCCCCTCCCAGGTGCCTCTCGGCACTTGGCCAGTTGAAACACTGTTGTGCATTTGTTTCCGTAGGGCTGGAGAGTGACTTCCTGGCTGTGTTGAGTGATTACCCGTCTCCTGACATCAGCCCCCCAATATTTCGGCGTGGGGAGAAGCTGCGAGTGATATCTGAGTGAGTTCATCTTGTGCAAATTTAACACCCTCAAAAGCAGCTGAAGCCAATCTGGGGGGAATAATGAAGCTTTAACTTCAGTTGGCTATTGAGAGTACGTAGAAGCCAACTTCCGCTTCACCCACCACATGGGTGATGAGATGCCACCTGCCAGTGCCAACAAAGAAATTAACCACAGGGTTTGAGAATGCAGCCACTGATGTGCAAAAAGTATTGCCTTTCTGCCTCTTGAGCCTGACTGAAAACATGCTGAATAACAAAACCAAACCAAACATAAAGGTCCCCTTATTTACATGTCCACTGGTGTGGCCCCATGCAGCCATGCTGGCTAGACTTCAGGGCACTCAGCAATATGGGAAATGATGTTGATTTTACAAAGTCTCTTACTTGCAACCTACAGAGAGAACATCATTTGGTGCCACTATATGGGATGGTTTATCAGTTGATCCGGAGCTGATGATGCCCTGCTGGATACACACATTCTGTAAACTAGATATTTTTAGTTGGAGCAATTCTGGTCACCATGGTCAAGGGCAGTTCTTGGAAGATAGCTGTGCACACTGTGAGTCACTTCAATTGCTGTGTCTGTGCCTCTGCTGCTCTGTTGCTGACTGACATACCTGCTCCTGTCTGTTCTTATTCCTGCAGCGAAGGGGGTTGGTGGAAAGCCATTTCACTCAGCACTGGCCGTGAGAGTTACATTCCTGGAATATGCGTGGCTAGGGTTTACCACGGGTGAGTACATTTCTCACATAGATGTGTTAGAATGCGATATTTATGACTGGTGGTTCACAGAGAGGTTCCAATATGCTACTGAGGATGGCAATAAAGGCATTGAGTTTAGAGCAGAAGTTCCTACTTCACCCTACACCCATGAGTCAACATGAGACCTGTGCTAATTAACTTCTCCTTTCTGGGGACTCAATTTCCCCATCAGTAAAATGGAAGAAGTCAGGCTTGCAGCTCTACCATGGCACATTTGACTCGCAGCTCTACCAAGCTGTACCTGGCACACAGCTCTACCATGCTGTACCCAGCCATAGCTTACTTTCCTCCACGGCCAGATAAAGATCCCAACAGAGAATAATAGGTGTGATTATATGAACCCATGGATATAGGTGTGAGGAAGCTGGGACAGCAGCAAAGCCGGGAGTACAGGAAGCACTCAGTCAACGTCGGCTGTGTTCTCTACAGTTCCACATCTTGAACCACAGAGACTGCTTAACTGCCACAACTGCTTAAGGGCCCAAAGTGGCAGAGGCAAACAGGAAGAGAAGCACACAGTCTAGAGTCAGGCTTGGCAGATGCAAAAATAGCACCTTGCCTTCTCCTGTGGCTGTGTAGGCGTTGTGGGCTCCTGGGCTCTGGGGCTCCCCTTCTTCCATGGAAAACCTCCCTAACTTCATTGAGCCTTCATCTCCAGCTAAGAGGAAAGGGGGTGGGAGAAAGAAGTGCCACTTTCACGCCTGGCAACTGACACCTGCACAGCCCGAGGATGACACATATAATGAGGCAAAGCTACCCACCCGGACACACCTTGAAGGCTGGAACTGTCGCCCTGTATTTCAGCATTGAGGATTTAAACTCTGAGCCCTTGACACCCTTTCTGGGCTCAGGATGGTGGCAGCAGGGAGAGAGTGGGGCCACAGACTCTCCTGGACTGGCTGCTTGTCATGGGTCCTTACTCCTTTCGTCTAGGACCTTCGTGATGAAGATGTGAAACTAAAATTGTCAGGATTTGTGACCAATGGGAATCCAAGCGAGTGCAAACTGATCTTTCAGGGCTACTAGTCTCATAGCCACAACATCATTCTTCAACACACAGGAGGGACAGGTCAAGGATGGGTTGTCCCAGCATAAGGCACACCAGCTTCAACTGTGCCGTGACCGACGTGGTTACTCACACAGACCACTACATCATCTCTGACCCTCAGCAGCCTACTCTCTGGGAGAGACAGTGTCAACTGCCTGAGAGCGCCCAGATGAGGACTCTATCTTAAGTGCTTACCAGGGGAGGTGACCCTGGGTTACCATTCATGCATGGCCCTTGACATTGTTTTATTGCTTTTGTCTTAAGTGGAATGTGATGGAAGGATGTGAACACATCAATGCTTACTGCATACACTGAAATAATTAATGCACCATGCACTGTGAAGAACTGAAGAAACTGTTGACCTATTTGACTGAGTGATACATCATCAAGATCTTCACAAGAAACTGTCACAGTGATCATTGCACAAATGAGGGGAAGCCACCTTGTGCTTCAGGAGCACTCAGCGCCTACTTGTCCAACTTGCACCTGGGCCATGGTGGAAGGGAATGGCCACACAACAGGGCAGGGCCAACAGTCACCATGGCACACAGGGACTGGGCGTATGGCAGAGAAGCCAGGGCTCACCCACTGAGATGCAGGGTCTCTTACACAGCAGTGCACACCTGCTCCCTCAGACACATCAGCCAGCATAGCATCTCCTTCTCCACTGAGATGCAGGGTCTCTTACACAGCAGTGCACACCTGCTCCCTCAGACACATCAGCCAGCATAGCATCTCCTTCTCCACTGAGATGCAGGGTCTCTTACACAGCAGTGCACACCTGCTCCCTCAGACACATCAGCCAGCATAGCATCTCCTTCTCCACTGAGAATTGACAGCGTGATCTGAAGATGAGCAGGGACTTCTCTTGGGAACAGATGCCTTGTGCGCAGAATGGCTTGCTAAGAGCATTCAGGTTGCTGGGCTGCCTGAGGGCAGGTGGAAAACTGGGCTATAGCATTATACTTGCTTTTCCTAACTAAGCATATATGAAGAACAGCACCCTGAACACAAAGCCACAGCCCCGTAAGAACAGACATGGCCCTGCCGTGTGAGAGTGTGGCAGGAGGGATACTGAGTAGATGACCCGAGAGATGCACGTTACATGAAGTGCTCCCAACAGGAGTGCTAGAATGTGCTGCAGTACGCGTCAGTCACAACGCCAGGAGTGCAGATGCCCCGTGTTCCCTGAAGAGCTGGATGAGGGGCAGGTTATGCCTTACAGTGTCATGATCCGGTGGTACATCTGGCATGAAATAGGAACTAGGGGAATACTATTTGGAGGATTCAAACTTTACCCCATTTCTCCAATTCTAGAAGCTTCCGATCATCTGGGCCTGAATTTCAGATTCATTCTGACTTGCACAGGGCCTGACTATTTGCGGAGGGCCAGGGGAGTGGTTAGACATACTCAGGATGCTCACTGCTTCCTTCCTGCTTCCCAGATGGCTGTTTGAGGGGCTGGGCAGAGACAAGGCTGAGGAGCTGCTGCAGCTGCCAGACACGAAGATGGGCTCATTCATGATCAGAGAAAGCGAGACGAAGAAAGGTGAGTGTCTGTTCCCAACTGGCTCATCACAGAGCTGCCTTCCCCTTCCTGTCATTGCTGTGGTCAATGTCCTGAGGACCCCACACTGGGGGGAGCCAGGGGAGCCTCGGGGACTAGAAACAAGGACTGGCACCCTGCCTGGGCACAGCCCTGGGCACTGACAAGGCATTGGATCTTGCTGTCTTCCTGCTACAGAGCCTTCTGGCAGCTGAGAACCCAAGTGAATGCCAGGAATGGACAGTGTGCTGGACAGATAGATGCTGCTGGAGGCCTGGCTGGGCCCCTGTAATGGCCTGCTAGAGCTGAGCTCTCCCATCTGTGCAATGGAAGGAAAATCCTCCCTGTGACAATGCAGTGAGATTCGAATGTCTTGCCATGTGTGTGGGCTCTTGCCACACAGGAAGCCTGCCATGGGAGGCCCCTCTATGTTCCCCATGAGGCAGCTCAGACGCAGGGCCCCCGGTGCTCACACATCCCTGCCATCTGCACTGCCACTGCTTCCCAGGCCCACACAAGCAGGATTAGCAGGGGCTCTTTGTTAAACAAAGTCTCAGGCCTTCAATTTCAGTCCCATGAATGACTAAGCCCTCACCCCTGCGTCCCTTATCTATAACCTGGGTTACCAAGAAAAAAAGAGCTGAGTTCCATGCCTGTCCTGGGTGTAAGAAGGGCTTAAACTCCTAGAACACAGAGGCACTACAACTTGCCCTGACTAAACCATAGCAATAAAAAGACATTTCCAATAAATGCAGAAGATGCTGGTAAGCTCTGAGCTTGCATCACAGACACACACACGCACACACACACATGCACACACACGCACACACGCACAGACACACGCACACACGCACGTGCACACATGCGCACACGCACACACGCACACACGCACATGCACACACGCACACACACACACGCACGCACACACGCACACACATACAGTTCTATGAGAAGAGTGCCTGCTGTGCTACTACTAGAACTGTCACCCACACACCAGAGCCTGCATCGGGAAAGCAGGAACGTGGGGTCTCAGAAACTTCTAAAATAGGGAGATCAAGAGTAAGGCAGAGGCAAAACAGCATGTGTGTGTCCCCGGGATCCCCACAGCAACACACTCCTAAGCTGGCATGAACAAAGGGAGGCAAAATGCTGTACGGGTGCCACAGTTAGTCTAAAAATGGACATGTCGTCAGGCATCTGCAGTGGGGCTGTGCTGGGAGTGGCAAGTCGCTCCCCCGGGTATGCAAAGTTCTGATGATTTTTCTACTTGCTACCCTTGACTTGCTCACCATACTTCCAGTTCCCGTTGACATGGCGGGAAGTCACGCACTGGGGTGAGACTGGGGGCAGGCCTAGAGCTCAGCTAGGCACACCCCTCAGAAGATTCTAGACAGGGACTTCAGGGAGTTCATGGAAAGAGATATCAAGACAGCGTTATTTTGATGCAAAACCAAAATGTAATCTTCAGAAAGTTCATGAAGACACTACACATGAATTTCAAGAGGTCTTTGCAGAACAGTCAGCTTAGGTCGAATCCCCTCTACACAAGCCTGCAGTAGTGTCTTGGCAGGAAGCCCCACCCAGGCTTCCCTTCCCATGCTGAGTACCTCTGGGTCTTACTCTTGGGGCTCCTGTTTCCTCATTAGTAAGGCACCTGGAAATAACACTTCCAGAGGTCTTACTGAGAACTGACAGAGATGTTGCCTAGCAATAGCTCAGCCCGCTTCCCCATTGTTCGGACAACTAGGATTCTCTTTCCCCTCTTGTGGGCTCATGAGTGTTTTCCAGTTCCAACGCCCCCAGAAGACGCAGCAAGCACAATCCTCAAACATGACCCAAGTTCAATCCTCCCAGTTTCTCTTGGGGAAGTTGAGGCTCAGACAGACACTGGCACGTGGCTGAGGTTCTTCTTTCTCTAGCTGATCTGGTCCTAAGACGCTAATAGGGAAACCATACACCACCATTCACATGCCTCTTGAGGATGCCTTGAAACACATCTTAGCCACTACTTGCTTCCCGTCTCAGAAGACCAAGCTGGAGTTAGAGGGACTAGGCACCAGGAAAGGAGGTGTAATCATGAGAAACTCTCCCTGAATGTATGGTGTCACGGCAAGGATAGGATGGACAAAGAAGATGGCAGTGGTGACATCATGCAGAAACTGGATCTCCAGGCTGCAATCCAATTATGTGCATTGAATTTGTCTGAAGGAGTTGCAAAACATTTACCTCAAAAGGCAAAGAGGGGGTGAGTGCAGCAGTTAAGATTCTGCTTGGGGTTCCAGTGTCCCATTCCTGAGTGCCGGGTTTAAGTCCCATCTCTACTTCCAATCAGAGCCTCCCAGGAGGCGGCAGGTGAGGGCCCAAGTAGTTGGATTCCTGCCACTCATGCGGGAGACCTGGGCTGAGTTCCTGCTTCCTGGCTTGGGTCTGGCTCAGCTCCAGCTGTTGCAGGCATTTAGGGAAAATGAAAACAGATGTTAGATCTTTGTCTGTCCTACAAACAAGAAGGAAGAACAGGGACAGGAAAATGCAAATGAGGGAGGAAGGAGGGTCAGGCCTATGCACTTGGGAGACCCCCGAGGAATGCACATTGCTACAACAACACACTCTGCAACCTCTAACTGGAAAGCTCAGTGGTAGTGGAAGCCAGGGGGCCAGGTCCCAGGGTCCCTGGAGTACCCCAGGTGAGCAACTCTCTCTGTGTCCCTGGTGTCGGGCTAGCTGGGGGCTGCTTTTGGGTGGGGACATGAGGGAACCGCTGACCTGTGCTCTGTCTCTGCAGGTTTTTACTCGCTGTCGGTGAGGCACAGGCAGGTGAAGCATTACCGCATCTTCCGCTTGCCAAACAACTGGTACTACATTTCCCCGCGACTCACCTTCCAGTGCCTGGAGGACCTGGTGAACCACTACTCCGGTAAGAGCCGCTCAGAGCAGACCAGGCAGGCAGCTCCCAACTACCTACCCTGGGCTGCCCTCAGGCAGGCCTGCACCTAGCTCACCCCTATACACCCCTGGGAGACTCCTGCTCTCTGTCCATTCCACCTGTTAGGTACACTGCCTTTTTGTTCACCCAGGACAAAATTTCAGGCTGCCTATGTGTGCCTTTCCCCAAACCTCGGACATGTCAAGTGCACCATTTCAAACCCATCCTCTTCTTGGCTGAATGAAGGACACAGAGCAAGCTCCTATCTTGGCAACCACAAGCAGGTTGCACTTCCTGCCTGTGGCAGGCCCTACATTTGGGAGACTGCAATGTAACTCATCTCCCCTTTTCCTGTTATGGCCAGTAGCCGTCCAGTGACCAGCACCTTTCCTAACCCCTGGTGTTGGCCTAGATAATCCTGTACTAGTCTGTGCTGCCCACCAGTTCTGAAGACTCGGGATTGCAGTTTACTTTTTGTGAGTCTTTCTTGCACCCAAGGCTGGGTCCAGACTGCCCCAAGCTGACAAAGGTATGATATTTATGCGGGAAAGGCACAGCAGAGTCACAGGGAGAGAATGGAGGTGGGTCTGCAGAAGGCTTGGGAGCCAGCTCTAGATGGAACGCCATTCCCCCAGAAAAGCAGTCAGTGCTGAGTACTGGGCTAAGTTTCCAGAAATTGGCTGGGAAGCGCTTGCTGCTCAGGGTTGATGTCCAGGGTCCCAGGTCCCTGCTGGGTGAGCTCAGGATGGGTCCCTGCTTTCTTGTGCTGCAATGAGGCACATGCGCATTGCTTCTGTCTCCAGGGAATGCTGAGGACTCACAAGAGGGAGCACAGGAAAGGACCACGCAGGGTCATGGGCAGGGAATCATTCATGCCCACCGGCTGTCTTCATCTTTCCCTGGGGCAGGACTTCCTCGTCCCCCACCCCACCACACCTCCTCTTCCAGGTCAAAGCAGGAAAAGCAGCAGGCACATCCACTCCTCTCAGGCTCGGGCTGCAGACCTTACACTCCTGTGGGAATTTGCTCTTTAGGCTCCGGGGTCATGGCCTGAAGGCACCGAGGGCATTTCAAGGAAGAAGCAGTCCCCATAGTATTGAACTGTCACCGCTGCCTTGCGAGCCACAGCAGATGAGGAAGGAGCTCTAGGTGTAGACAGAGGCAGGGCCAGTTGGGGTCGAGGTATGTGAGACCTGACCAACTGACACCAGGGCGTGGTGCTCCACTCACGGAGGGTGGGGGCCCAACACACAGGTCCTGTGACATGTTCAGCCCAGCCTGACATGCACCGAACACAAAAGAAACGATTATAGAAATGGCTCCCGTGATACCGGAAATCCTGGCAGCTAGCTAAGAATGAAAGAGGAAGGGAGTCCTGGAAACAGCCCATTTCTCCTGGGTCTGAGCAAAGGCTGTTTGTGGTATTTGGCTTTTAATATCAATCATCAGAGTAATGTGGAGACCAGAAGTTTTGCATAGACAAAAGTAAACATGAGAAGGATGCTGCCCCAGCCAAGCTCTTAGAGCAGGCCCAGCCATTGGAGGCCAGGCCCAGAATGCCTGTGTCCACCTGGGCTGTTTAGCTGAGCAGGGCATCTATCTGATCTTCAGGCAGAGCTTGTGCCTCTCAGCAAGCAGGCCCTAGCCATTGTGTCACTCAGAGTGTCGTGGTCATCTGTTGACCTCCTGACCATGACTGAAGTTGGTCTGAAGACCTCAAGTGCAGGATCCCAAAATAGAAACAGCAGTCAGTGCTACCCCCAGAAACCCTTCCTGCAGGCACTGAATCCAAGCGGCTGGACCCTGGGCCGCTCTGGCTCATGACTCAGGCCTGCAGGTTGATTTCGGTCCTTGTCCTTGGGACTCTGGGGAAATTGCTCTCCTCTTGGAACATTACTTGCTCCATCTAGAAAATGGGGCTTAGTTGCTTCTTTGCAGCATTGGTGCACAGAAAAACCTGGGGGCCTAAGGACGGTTAGGTGCATGGTGTTAGTGAGAGAACAGGGGTAGCAGGGCACATGAGACCTAGGATGTGGCTCAAAGGACAAAGGGAAGCAGGTCAAGGTACCCTGGTGCATCAAGACCAAGACACACTGTGGGGTCTCCCTTGTCCTCTTTTCTTGATTCCAAGTCAATGAAATGGGCTTCTATCACATTCCTCTGTCCCTGAGCAAGTGACTTGTCACTGGGTGTCTCAGTTTCTTCCATCCCCAAATGGTTCTAGAAAATTCAATCTGCACTAAGTAAATGTAGGGCCTCAATGAGATGAAGGGCTGGGGTTGGCTCAGTACTTGGCTTATGCTGCCAGTGCATAGTGCATGGCACCTGTGCTGCAGGCTACATGGTTTCCTGTCCAAAGTCTTGGTCTGTCCAAGGTGGGATGGCCAACAGTGTGCTCTTGCCATGCTGTAGCCACAGCTGCATCGGTCAGTCTGTGCATCTCTAATCTGCCTCATATCCTAACCCAGGAAGCTCTTTCAATTTCCAGCCATGACAGGCAAATTGTTTTAGATTCATATCCAATTACGCTTCCCTCTGACCTCATGGTGTTGCCTCAGCTTTCTCCCCACATGCCCCAGGTGGGTGGATGTTTGAGTCCACAGGGAAAGGCCCTCTGTACCTACAGAATGAGGCACCATTGTCCACTGGGCTGACAGTCTCTTTCTGCTGTTTGGGAGGTGGAGGCAATCTAAGGTGGGGTCCTGTCTAAAAGCAGGTGATGGACCACTCCAAGATGGCAGCAGGGACTAGGGTTCTGCCCTGCTGGAGACCAGGGCATCCCACCTCTGCTGCTGTTTCACCTCTGGCTCTGCATCGGACAGGGGAAGCCCCGGGGTGCTCAGGCTGAACGAGATGGTACAGCCTCTTCCCTCCTTCTCTGCGTCTTCCACACTCCCGTGCCTCTTTCACTATTACCTCCCTTGCCAGCCATTGTCCTTACCCCCTTCTTCCTTGCTCATCCCCTTTTATCTTCCTTATTTCCTTCACGTTGGTTGGCCCATCTGGCTGAGGCTCATCCACGAGGTGAGGAACTAGGAAAGGCTGCCGTTGTTGTTTCTTGTAACATCACATTGCAAGGGAGGAAGCAAGGTTCAGAGAGGTTTAGGGTTGTTCACCATCAGGGGCACGGAGCTCTCTTGGGGTAGAGTAACACTTCTCAAACAGCAGGGTGGCCTCACTCAGGCTTGCCTGCCATGCTTCATGCCCACCTGGGCTCGGTGTCCCTATGCTAAGCACCAGGATGTTGGGGCAGTGTCCTGCACTCCGTGCCGGCTGTGGCTTCCCCAGAGTCCCTGGCTCACTGCTTTCTTCCTCAGAGGTGGCTGATGGTTTGTGCTGTGTGCTGACTACGCCCTGCCTGACACAAAGTACAGTTGCCCCGCCCACCAGAGCCGCCAGCTCGCCGGTCACCTTGCGCCAGAAGACTTTTGATTGGAAGCAGGTGTCCAGGTGAGATGTGTGTGTGTGTGTGTGTGTGTCCCCACCCTATGAACGTGGGAACACGAAATAGAATGTGAGGCTGGCACATGCATACCGTGGCCAGTGTCCCCTAGGGGTAGGCGCCCCAGCAGGTGCCAACCAAGTCCCTCAGCTTCTGCCAGTGACTGTGGGAGTCCCCATGCAGTGCTGGTAGGGAATATTTTCTCACTTCACTTCAGCTTCTTCTAATGGGTAGACTCCCAGAGAGTAGCACATTAGTAAATGTTGCATAAATTTGTTGTTGAAATGCCGCTTAGAGAGTCCAAGCAGACTAGCAAAGCCCTAAGGTGGTATCGTTTATTATAAGGAAAAACAACCTTTTTGTTTCATTTTGTTTATCTTATCATTGGCTCTTACATGTGCAGGGCTATTTAGTTTGTGGCTCTTGGGTTATGTTAGTAAGCGACTATTAACCCAGACACATCACTGGCACAGTCAAAGCTCACTAGAGATCAGAATTCCCTGTGAGAGGCACAGCCCACTGCTCCTTGTACACACGATAGAGAGAGATGCGTTTGTGTTGGAAGGTGGAGCCGTGTGAAGGTTTGGAGGCTCACAGGCACCAAGTGCTTTGCCCCAGGTCACACTGCTCACTACTGTAAGAACTGGAGAACAGTAAGTCTGCAGCATACTAAGCTCACTGTCTTGTTCTCCATCTCTCCCCTCTCTCCATGCCCTCCTTTTTCTCCCAACCTGCAGGCTGCAGGAGGATGCTGAGGGGACAGGGAACCCCCTCGGGGTGGACGAGTCCCTTTTCAGCTATGGCCTGCGGGAGAGTATCGCCTCCTATCTGTCCCTAACCAGCGATGACAGCACCCCCTTCGACCGGAAGAAGAAAAGTGTTTCCCTGATGTACAGTGGCAGCAAGAGGAAGAGCTCCTTCTTCTCTTCAACACCATACTTTGAGGACTAGCTGGGGAGCAGCCAGCCAGCCATGAGGCATGGCGGTTCCAACTGTTGCCCAGTGTCCTGCCCCAACTAGGGTGCCTGAGGCTCTGGAGCTGAGAGAGGCCCCTTGGGAACTCAAACTCTCCTCCTCTTTGTCCACGCTGTGACCACAAGGACCTGGGGTCTGATGAGTGTTGTGACTCTTGATGGCCCAAGGCCGGGTACGTGCACATGGTGAAGATGGGCAGGACAAAGATTCACGCAAGCACAGGAATCTGGCCCGTTCTACAGGAAACTGTCCATTGATCACACTCCGGGGACACTGGAAAGTCTGAGACGAAGACTGACCAAGAGCTGTGCCTGGTGGGTGGTTCGGGTTTGTAGATGGGTTCCTGCATGGAACTTTGTAACCCAGGGGATGTCATCTTTCATGTGAAGGGCACTCCGTGATACTAAACACTAGCCCAAAGGACTTACTGGCTTGAATCAGGAGATGCCTTGGCAGGCTTGGTGGAAGTCAGGTGGCCTCTGTGATGCTGAGAGGGCCAAGCATATGGGAGAAAGGGGGCAGGTGGTGGGGAAGACCCCAACATGGCAGGAACTGCACAGGCTTCTGAGATGTCCCCAGTTATTAAGAGTTCCTCTGGATTGCTGGGATTGTTGCTGCATCAAGGCATCTATTATTCATCCTTAACTGTCTGAAGAGGCACCATGTTAAGTCCCTGTGCAAGGTGTCAGTCCCCCCCACCCCCCCAAAAAAGAACAAGTCATCCCAGCTTCTAGTGCAGCTGTAGACAAGGGGGAAAGTGTCCAGGCCAGTTATGTGACAAAGATTCCTCCCATCCAAATCATGCCAGGCATGGAGGAAGGGAGCAGGGTTCTGCAGAAACCATGACCCGCCTTCCCCTGTATCCTGGGGCTGATGGGTGGGGAAGTGCCTGCTGTGGTGCCTTCTGCCCTGTGCCAGCATTCCTTGGATCTGAGCTAGAGTATGCAGCCATGCCTTCCCAGCAGGCCACAGGGACTTATGTAGGGAGACATGTGTGGTCTTTTCAATAGTCAGAGAAGGCTGCTTCAAAAGGATCCCCCAGCATGTGGGAGATGAACACAATCTGGGGACTGCCTCCCACCTCCAGACTGGAGGCCGACCCCAGTTGTCTGGGGACACAGCCCCCCACCATGAGACCAGGGGCTTACCCAAGCTGCCTGCATGGTGTCTTAGCGCCTTATTTTCCGTTGCAACAAATCTGATTGGAATGCTGGGGGAGCACTCCGCTGGGAGGTAGAGGTGGGGAGACTTCTCAGTGGGAAGCATTATGCTGTATTAAATCCTGTATTTATTCCTGATGAAAAATAAACTTATTATGTATTTAAACCTTGAAAAATGGACAGAGCATCTGGGTTGAGATGGACCAATGGTTCAATAGCCCTGAGGGTTGGGATTCTCCAGTCAAGGCCAACTGCACAGAGGCAAAAAGAGCCAGCAGAGGAGACCCAGATGCAAGGCTTGCCCTTTGGAAGAGCAGAAGGCAGGTAGGAGCTGAGAGGATGTCTTATCGCCCTGGACAGCAGGTGGAGGGGCTGGAGGAACAGCAAAGCCTTAGTACCTGCTAGATTCTTGTCCACAACCCCTGTGATACCAGTCTAGTCCTTCTCCCCATACGGCCCTGGGATGTACTATCTTACAGGCTCTGCTCTAGGAGCTGAGGCTGCGACAGTGCAGGTCAGAGGAGGTCTCTGACAGAGGGAGATAACAGCACCAAGAAACCAAAGGCTGTCCCACAAGAGGGCATGGGATAGGAACTGGCAGGGTCCCATCCGAGGGTGCTCAGGAGGGCCTTCGAGGGAGGGAGAGAGGAAGGGAGCGAGGCAATACTTGAGCAGAGGTCTGAGAGGCACATGGAAAGCAGCCATGAGGTGGTGCGGGAGGTGTGCGGGAACCGTCCGGGCACTTTGTAGGCAAAGCAAGAGTTCAGGCACAGAGTGTGTGGCGACAGGCATGGCCAGGGCTGACAGAGGAGACAGCCCAGTCCTGCAGGGGAGGGGTGGGAGTGGGGTCTACTCTGGAAGCCCTCAGGAAGCTGTGCAGGGCAGCGGGGTCTTTCTCACCCACTGGATACAACAGCTGCCCTGTGGGAGATGAGGTGTGAGAATCTGCCTCTGCATTGTCTTCTTGACGCAGTCTTACAGCTAAGGGTGTAGAGAATTTGAAGACAAAGCTGTGAGAAAAATGAACAAAAGGAAAACGTATGCCATATTTTGAAGCAAAATGAAATTGAAGAGGGAAACCATTCCATAGGAAACAGGAGAGCCATTTTAGAAGCAACCATAGATTATGACAACACAATGATTATCATCTGTGCTAAAATCAACAGTTTCAAAATGCATGAAACAATTACTATAGAAAGAAATGGCTCTACAGGTTTGGAGATTTTAATGCACCAGTAGCTGAAACTGATGGATTAAGCAAAGGAATCTAAATAAACAGATTTTGGTAACACTAAGTGATTTTTACGCTCACTAATGGGGAAGCCATTCGATCACAGAAGTCCTGAGGAATGTCACAGTCAGCTACATCCTAGTTATGCTTCCCGGCACAAATGAAAGAAAATCAGATAAAGCTTGAGGGGCTGTAGCTCATAAAATCGTAGAGAGTTGGCTGATTGAAATATGACATTGACCAAAGAAAGAAAGAACTCGTGAAGTCAGCTGCCAACTCAAGAAGCTGAAAGAATAAGGAAAAAGCAGGAGAGAGTGATAGAGGGAAGAGGTTTGGGGGAGGCCATCAGTGAAGCAGAGTTTTCAACACACAGCCCAGACAGGCTAAGAACAGTAAGGTGACAGTACTAGTGAAACACAAACAGGTGTGATCACGTATGGCAAAGGTGGAACAAAAGCAGCCGCGTGTGGGTGTGTTCCTAACAGCCTGCAAGACAGGGTGCCTGAAGTCCTGAGCCAGCCTGGGGCCCCTCCCCTGCCTGTGCATCCTCTCTGTGCCATTGGGAACCCACTTTCTCCTCCTCCTCACCCACGGTGAGCATCCCTGACTGGACCCTGCAGAAGAAAAAGATGAGGACCAGGCCGTAAGGAGGAGCATGGAGACACCCAAAGAAACCAGGGTCCTGAGCAACCTGGAGACACATGGACGCTTCTCACCTTGGGAACAATACCAGAAAGAAAAAAGAGAGATACTTTACTCTGTAAACCATGTAAGTGGTAGGTCTCTTTGTCACCACAACTGAATATTTTTGCTCCAACAATCATAGCTATAACCCTGCCTTTGTTTGCAGAGGATGAGCTATCTTCATTGAAAATTCAGATGAACCAACAGGTCAGATTTCAGAAGTGATGAGAGCTCAGCCAGTTGCTAAACCAACTTACTTGTGAAGAAACATGCAGCAATTTGCTAAACCAGACTATTCCCCCAAGCTAGAAAGCACAATACAAACTGAGTCACCATTCACAAAAGCAGCCAAGTGACATGAGGTTAGCTTCCCAAAGCTATATGTGCAAGTGCTCCAAACTCTAGGAATAGACTCAAGGAAGCAAAAATAGCTTGGTTATGGAGCTAACCTGACGCAAGGCTGAACATCAGAACATACATTTTTTTCTACAATTAAATGAAAAAAATCAACAAAGCTAATCCTTATATCTCCAGAAGAAATATTAGAAAAAGAATAAGTTTATTCAAAGACTAAACTTATTCTCATAGCCTATGCCTATCTCAGGAAATTTTGAGAAAAATAAGCCTCAAGGAGCTGCCCACCCTATGAGGACTGTTACCCAAACAAGAAAAAGTAGTGCTTTGATCCCAAACCACCCTCCTCCATGTCACTCTCACAGGGCAGGGTCTTGGGCGCCCTTAATGAACCAGTGCTCCCTAAGTGTTAAGGAAGCGCCAGGAAAATTAAGCTTCTGTACAGTGGCAAGCTACTCTTGGCAGAACTGAGATGAGAAATGTCATAACAATACCAAACATATAAAATAAGACAGAATTCTTTCCTGAAGCGACATACTATATAGTTCAAATGTGGTTTGGCCCAGTCAAGAGTGTATTGGCATATCGCTGTTAATGTGATGGCCGGAGGTGAGGGGGACTTTGGGGTTTCTGGGCCATGGGAGCTCCTTCCTCATGAAGGAAGTTCCCAGGAAAAGGTGTGGTTATCGTCAGACTGGGTGCTACACCCAGACACCACTCCCCTGCCTCTGCTTACACAGCATCTTACCTTCTGCTTTTGTGCCATAGGTGGGGCAGGCCTAAGGTTGGCACAGGAAGCTGAACAGATGTCACTGCCCTGACCTTAACCTTAACCTTGCTCAACCCCCACATGTAAATCTCTTGTCTTCCTGTGGAGTACCAACTCACTGACACTGTTACAACCATAGAACATAGACTGAGATAAGAAATGTCCTCACTGAGGTGCCATTTCCTCTGCTCTGTGAGACAGGGGAAGCGCAGGGCATCTCATCTCGGCTGAGTTCCGAGGGTCCAGGAACCTTCCAGGTGCACATTGAGTATTCTGCCCACAGCACAGAGACCCCAAGGCCCAGGAGAAGGAATGGTATTTGCAAGGAACACTGACACCAATAAGCCCCAAATGTGGGATTCAAGCAGGAATCGAGGTAGAAGGGGGGCAGAAAAGCTGACCTTGAGGCCAACTAATGAGGTCAGGGGTTCACCCGGAGGAATGTGGAACTGAAGTAGAGTCCAAGGATGGCAAAGGTCTCTGAGTCCGATCACACAGGTCATGACATGACACCTCTGTCTTATCTGCGTTGTGTGTGCCACAGGTCATCTTTCTCCTCCATCCCAGCCCCCAGGGAAGAGAAAACCTTCTGGGATGTGCTTTGGTTCACAGTGCCTTCCTTGGCCAGGGAGTATCTTAAGGCAGGGCTACCTGATTGGAAGCTTGGCTTCTGTTCCTATACCTGGAGACCCCAAAGAAGCCCAAAGTCTCGAAGAAGCAGTTTCATGGAGTGGACAAACATGGATTTAAGTTCTGCCCTATGCCATTTGGCTGGCTGTGAAGCCTCCCTGCCACTCAGACTTCCTACCTCTAGACAGAAAACAAAATGGCAACCCCATGTCTGTTAACATGAGAATCTGGGAGATGAGATATGAAAAGTGCTTTGTGGCTCCAAATGTGCTAAACAAATACAGATGAGTAATCACCACCGTAGGAATTTCTTTTAACTGATGTTGCAACAGCTCTTGCCTCCAGGATTTTCAGACTTCAAATTCTACTCCTGAATAAACTGCCAACTGACATTCACTCCCCAAACATCTGCTGGTGAAGAGCACATTTAATAACCGCTAATATATTGAAGTATTTTCGTCCTCTCAATCCCAAGTAATTTCACATGCGTCCCAGGGGCTGCTGGGAGCAGTTGGAAACGCTGCTTCCAAATGACTCAAACAGACGGGAGGATTTATTTTTAAATACACTGCCATTTGTTAAAACAGATTAGTTTTTGAAATTCCCCTAACACCTAAACCCTGAAAAAAGAATAATCTGCCTTCTGGGTCTTTTGGAAGACAGTGTTGGCATCTTCTGGGTCCTGGTGAGTGTCTTGTTACTGAGAAAACTCTGGAGAAATCCCCCCAGGATCAACTCACAGAAGGTGCAACACCACACACTGGAAGATGTTGGTACGCAAGCTTCCGGCCACTAAGATGGGCCCACTTCAGAGCGACAGATGGAAAACCACCAGAACCAAAGAATAAGAAACTCAAGATGAGAGTGGGTGGGAGGAAGCTGGAATGTCTAACCACTGCCCTGTTAATGTGCTCATTTGCTGTCGGCTTGGCCCATGTTAGTTGCAGAGCATCTCCTTACCATTCGATTGCTGTATGTATGAGGTCCCTGGGACCCTGTGCAGAACAAGGCATGCTGGTCCCTGCCTTGCTGCTCTTTAAAGTCTTGTGGTCGAGGCAGCCATGGCACTAAGGGTAATCATTTACCAATGGAAAGCATTACAGAGCATAGAAGAACAGACAACAGAAGCTCTGAGATGAAAGTCTAGAAGACTTCCCTAAAGGACAAGCAATTGGGCAGGTGTTAGGATGTGGGTGCAGCTAAAGCATGCTCCCAAAGTCTCAGGTATCTGGAGTTTGGGGCTCAGAGTGGCAATGTGAGAGGTGGTGGGGCATCCAGGAGGGCCCAGTGAGGGACACGTGTGATGGATGTCACTTTTGGGAGATTGGGTATTCATGGGGCTCCAAGTTGGTGCTCCAAAGAAAACTGTCACAAAGGAAGGAGATGGACCCCTTTCCCACTCTGACCTGTCCCACCAAATGTTCTCTTCCTCTGTCTGCTGAGACATTGTACACCACAAGGTCTTCCTCAGAGCCCTGTCAGTCAATGCCATGCTCTGAGCTGAGTAATCCTAGTGTCCTTCTGTGCTGCCAACCTCGGGTATTCTGCTTTAATTCCAAAAGATGGATCAGTATCTCTAACAAAGAGGAGAAAAAGAGAAAAGTCTCCCATAAAAAGAAAGCTCCTTATACATGGGACAGCAAAAAGTCAATGGAAAAAATATATATAGTATGAAAAAAATATATAGTATAAACATGCATACAGTATGAAAAACTAACACATGGGTTTAAAATTTAAAAAAAAAAGTTTGCACCAAGATAAACTCATCTTTTAATTCCATTACTTTTTGAAATACTCTTCTATGAGACACAACACAGTATGGATTTCAATATTCAGGAGAGGTTTCCGTGGCTGAAGGAGAGAGATGGAAAGGCAGGTGGTACTATTTTCTGTTAGGAATTGTAACAATGCTGATCTTGTGTAAGCCAAGCTCAAGTGAAGACACTTTTACCACCTTACAATCGAGTGTTTGGATCCCAAAAGTTGTGCATCTATACGGTTTTGGAATTGCTACCAAGTGAAGAAGAACTTCAGTTCATGCTGTTGGTCCCAAGGGTTCTCCCTCTTTCCTCAATTTAGGTTGCTTTTCAGTGTCTGAATTGTTTCCTTGACTTCCCATGATGCCTCTCTTTTACCTTCATATTCTACCCTGCCCAATCAGCATCTTCTTTAACATGCAGGTGCAGTTTCTTACTTCCTTAACAAACCCTTTGGAAGCAGACCAATGTTCACGGCAGTACCATTCACAATAGCCAAACAGTGGACACAACCCAAATTGTCATCAGCCAATGACTGCATGCAACAAGCATGCTCTATATGCTTGATGGACTTTTCAGAATGGAATAAAGCCTGGAGAAGAAAGGAGATTTTGATCCGTGCTACTCCAGGCATGAACCCTGAAGACATTCATGCTAGACACAGGTTAAATACTGTATGCGTTCACTTACATTATGTACCTGGAATCAGCAGATTCAGAGTCAGGAAGTTCATGGGCTGTGGGAATCGGGAGAATGGAAAGCCAAACTTTCTCTACGGGATAAGCGGGTTGCTATGGCAACAATGCTGATGATTGCACAGCTCACTGCCACTGAATCGGACACTCGGAGATAGTAAAAATCCCAAACTGGAAACACAATTGTGAGTTCTGTCACTTGAGCAATGAGCCCCTCTGTTTTCAGGGTAAAACTCCAAGCTGCCTGAGGCAGCTGGACATCTCTGTGCCTATGCTCTGCTGGTCAGCAGGACCCTGACCTGCAGCCTTTCTCTCTCACCAGGACTCTGCACAGCCTCTCCAGGGAGGGCTGCTTCCATACCCGCACCTTCTCCTACACGCGCTGGGACCTTCTCCTTTAACCACTCTCATTTAAATCACCTGCTTTAAGTGCTTGTCATCCCCACACCTCCTCACCCCTCAGTAACTAAACACTTCCCAAGCCTGGCAGCATGTATCACTCATCATGACTTACTAGAATCTAGCATGGCGCATCTGACACAAATTTCAAGCTCAATAACATTAGAAGCTAATCAAAGGCAGAACAAGAAACACTGAAGTTTAACGCAATGGCTAGCCACATTACTTTTTCCGTCATGACCATTGTCCTCATCAGTATCATCACATTATCACCATTATTGTCACTATCACCACCATCATTACCACCATTATCATTACCATTATCACTATCATCATCATCAATTAGCAAGCCCTGTAGACAATCCAACAGAATCCTGAGTAATGAGTTCTAGTCTTTGCCTCTAATTATTGACAAAGGAGATAAATAATGGTTCAGGCCACCAAATCCTAATGAGGTACTTGCAGGAAACAGATATTCCAACATCTAGGAGTTCTCTCATTTTAGACCCAATGAATGGTGGCCAAGGGAGGCACCGGAATCCTGGAGTCACAGAACCTGGAAGGGCAATCCTAAGCAGAAGTCACAGGCCAAAGGCTAAGGGAAAACCCAGCTGTTACAGCCAACCAGCCTCAAGAGGCAGCAGAGACAACAGATCTCCCCAAACCTGCAAGGACGCCCAAGGGAGCGCCTGTGACTCACCATGAGCAGAGCCCTCTGGAAGAGTCTGGAGTTTGTGATCCCAGTTGTGAAGAGATGGATGCTGGCCACCTCAGCCCCGCCACGGTCTGCTGCCAGGGATACGCGCTGAGGGTCCCCGCCAAATGCACTGATGTGAGTCTGCACCCATGTCAGGGCTGCAACCTGGTCCAGCAGTCCCCAGTTGCCCGTCACTTCACCAGACCCTTCGAAAAATAGGAAAGTCTTATTGTGATTTTGCAACTTTGGATTTAATGATCCAGGTAGAGTCTATACCAAGTTCATAGCTTCTGCAGAAGCCCCAGGCTCTTGTCCCGCCAGGCCAACACCACAGGGTTCCAAACGTGGCCAAGAGACAATGAGAAGAATGTGACTTCCTAACTCATACACATACAGGAGTGAACTCCAGCTGCAGCCCTTGCTAGCTAAGAGAGCTTAGCCACGTCCCTCCACCTCTCTGGGCCTCTGCTTTCTTACTGGCTGACCAGGGCAGCTGCTGTGACAGGTGTGAGATCACAGACACGCATGTTCAGTTGTGCCAAGCAGCTTAGCACAGGTGGGAAGCATACAGGTCTTTGCTCCTGTACAGATGACTCTCCATGAGAATAGCCAGCCCAGAGTAGAACCTACTGTTTCATCTACCGTGGCCTTCAAAGGTGTGTCACTAAACCCATCTCCACGCCCTTTCTCATGAAGTTCAATCATGAATTAATGAAATGCTTTAGACATAGGAAGAATGCAGCATGACTGTTCTCCTTGGATTCTTAGCACACTCCAGGCCCACCCGCCTTCCCTTTCCACTCACTTGTCCTTAATCACACCTTCAAACACCAGCCCTCACTCTGGTCTGAGCTGAAGTCCACACGCTTTCTGGTGTGCCAGGAGACCTCAGCAGATTCTATGTGGTAGGAACATCTCTGGTATATATTAGACCATTCCCCAAGCTCCGGATTCCTCACAGCTCTCCACCATGCACCACAGCTATAGTGAACAGGACTCATTCCTAGCAAGAAACTGTTGAGGAATACTTTCCTTAGTTCCCAATAGAAAAAAAAATGGTACCCTGGTCCTCCCAGTTCGCACTCATCAAGCCGATGAGAGCACCGGCTAATGAGTCTTCCAGAATTTTTTCAAGCACTGTTCATGTTCTGCGTCTGCTGAAGCCATTCATTGGCACAACATGATCCTTGCTATGAACTTTTCTAGAATGTGTGTGCATGTTCCAATTGCCAGGATGGACATTTGTTTTTCCTCCAAGGTATTGGGCAACCCAAGAGAGCAGGGTACCAGCTGAGCAGACCCAAGTCCTACAGATTTGGGAAGTGACATTCACAGTCTGAATTTCCAGTAACAACTAGTGAAGGTATCTCCTTGCCTCTATCTTTCTGTCGGTCAGCATCCCATCACTTGTCAAGTTGGGATACAGGCACCCACTAGCTCCCTGACTATCTGGCTGGTTCTCAACTGCCCATTCTATTTCCTCAACCATTAGTAAAGTCCAGCCTTGTCAGTGGGTATCAATGGGAGGCAACCAACATGCTGCCAAGTGCCATGTGAGCCCTGAGCAATCACTTACAGCTGTTGGGCTTCAACTTTTCCAGTCTGTAAAATGGGGATATGACCAGTACCTGCTTCTTTTGGCTGCTATGTTAATTAAACTAATTAACATTTGTAAACAGCGTGGAACCCCTCCCCCCCGGAACAAGGCATTCAAGAGAACTTTTTTCCCTAAATAGGGTGAGGCAAGCTTAGTTCTAACAGCCTGTCAGCAAGGCCCTGAGCAGGGCCAGGCCTACTGTCAGCAGCAGGAGGAGCGGTAGCCCTCCCTCGGGCAGGGGCCCAGTGCCTGCTCCTGTGCTCAGCCAGCCTAACAGACTTTCTGGGGGCAGGAGAAGGGAATGTGGTGCTGAGAGCCACAGGGACCATGAGGTCATGGCCATGTGTGGTTACCGGTGGCTTTCCAGCTTCCTGGCCTGCTGTCTGGTGCGCTGGCCAAAGCACACTTCCTCTGTTCCTGCTCTGGCACGCCTGCTGCACACCCCTCCCCCTCTGTCCTGTGTGCCACTGCCCCTGCAGCCACCATGCTTTGCCAGAGAAGAACAATCCCTGGGTGCTGATGCTCTCGGGGTCTGTCTCCATGGTACCATCCCGGCCTGGGGGCGTGGCCTGGTCCCCCATCTCATTACCCACGCCTTCACTTCCTTTCCAGTTGCCCTTGTCAACAGGAGCAAGCTGCCTTGAAATCCTGGGCTTGTCTCCCAGAGAGCACAGGTCTGTTCAGGCAGTCCAAGACCCACAAGGAGATATTGTGTGGATCTCACGCTGCTGGGACCTGGAGGCAGCTGTGTGCCATCACCTGCCTCAGAAAAATGGGGACCATTCTGGTCCCAGGGCCAGCTCGTGCTCTTGTCTTCCCACACATCAGCTCTTTGTAGCTTTACTGCAGAGGGATAGCTGTGATGTGACTGGGAAAGGGAGGAAAAGAGATAGGAAGGGAGGGGAGGAGAGGGATGGGAAGAGGAAAGAGAGGAGGGGTAAGGAAGGGGATGGGGAAGAAGGAAAGATGAGGAGAGGAGACAGGATGGTAGAGCCATACAGGGTAAGGTGGGGAGCGAATAAGTGAGGAGAGGGAAGGCTGGACCCGGGACATTGAAGGCCCACAGAGCAAAGCCACTGCACTTAGACACTGTCCTGCTCAGAAGCAGAACCTGACACTGAGGCAGGCTCCCAGGGCAGCCCAGCTCTTTCCAAATGTAGGTTTGGAGCCATGCTTTTCAACTGTTCAGAAGGAAACGGCGAGGGAGTGCTAGGTGGTGCATGTAAGGGGGCATGGAACATACTGCTTGGGCCAGTGTGAGGGTGTGCACAGGACATTGCATTTTTTGGCTAAAACCATGGAATGAAAGACAGGACAAGAGATCCCTGATGCCAACTCTGCACTTCAGGGGCCAGTGCAGGATCAGTTAGGTTCCCAGAATGACAAAGGAGTCCCCCTGATTCTGGGGGCAGTAGCAGGGGAGGCTGAAGGGGCACAGGGAGCACATGGGAGCTCTGTGCCTTTTGCTCAGCTTCTTGGAAACTGAAAACTACTCTAAATCATATATATACAGAAAAGCAGAGGGCTGCATCTTGGTCCTAGGCTGCTGGCAGGGATAAGTGCAGTTGGAGTCCTCCACCAGGGTGTCCTCCTGGCTGCACATCCCTATGTCTTATGGCTTCCATACCCTCTGCACAGCCTGGTCTGTGGCAGTCCAGGGCCGGCCCATGGGCACTTCGGGAGCCTGTTTCTGTGCTCCATGGCTCTGCTGCTGCTCTCCCCACTGTCGCTGTCCCTGGGCCTTGGCTTCTGTCTTGATTTGGCAAGGATGCTACCCACAGTACTTCCTTTCCTGGGCTGCTTCTCAGGGCAGCGCGGTGGCAGAGCTGAGACCTCAGAAACTCAGGGAGGTCAGCTCAGAGCCACATGACTGAGAAATGAGACGTCCAAAGGGCCTACCTAGCCATGTGAGGAGCAAGCTGCAGAAAGGCCTGCCACTGTCTGCCTTCTGGGACAGGGCTCAGAGAGCTCTTTTACCACATCAAGCCTTTTTGCTACGGAAGGGACACATGGTGCTGGCTGCAGCAAGGCACTCTGCAAGCCTCATTTCCCTTCTCCCTGGTTGATGGTTTTTCAATTGAGCAACATGAACAGCAGCATTGGTACAAATCAGAAGAGGGGTTCCATGTGCAAGCTCCCATTGTTTCTCCATCATCCACCCTCATTAGCAGCCAAAATGAGTTTCACCAAAGACATAGGAGCTTTCAATAAAATGGCCTCCCTACAGGAATGGGCAGATGACAAACAGAAACTCACTCTCTTCCAGCTAGAATTGCTCCAAGCTAGAAGAAGGTCAACCTTGGCTGGGAGAACTTCCCCAGAGCCTGGTAAGGAGGGGCGCTGAATTCCAGCGACTCTTTAGAGAAGTGAGCTACTAGAATCATAAATCCTTGTGTTTCAGGAAAAGGAAGTCCAGCAGAACCCTCCTGAAAAGTGAGCTTGCCTATGAAAACTCCTTTGCACTTGGTTTGTGTCTCACCATCACCCAAGGCCTGTGGAATAGAGAGGGGAGCATGAGAGAGAAAGCTGCGGATTTGGTCCCCAAGAGCACCTGACCCTGTAATGGGAACGATGCTATCTGTCCATCATCCACATCTCCCATGCTGGCCTTGGGCTACATTGCACCTTAGTATACTGCCTGTCCCATGGAACACTGGAGGGCCCCATACCACCTGAAGCTCATGCTGAGTGGTCCACCCACTCCTTGCGCCCTGGTAGTCATGCAGGATGCCTGTCTAGTCACACAAACCAGAACTGTCCATCATTCTGACCATGCTGCCTCCACCCGCCCATCCTAACTTAGCACATAAGATATTCAAGGATGTAATGAGATCCTTGGGAAGTAGGGAGGGTGCTCAGCCCCTTCCTATGAGGGCTTTAAAATCTACTAATGTTTCTAAAATTGTTTGCGAGGTATCACATATTCTCTCACTCAAGTCCCACGGACACTTTGGAAACTGAGTAGAGTGCTAATCACCCATTTTGCAGAGGAGAAAACTGAGACTGGCGTAAAGGAAGGGCATAGCCGGTTGATGGCAGAGCTGCCCTTCAATCCTCAGATTCCAAGGCAGTGCTCCTGGCCTCTGAGGCTGCTACCAGGTGCCTCCCCGACCTCGCTGGCTGCTGGAGGTACAGAAAGATGCAGCTCGGTCAACCCAAGGCTTGTCTGCCCTGGCAGGCAGTGGGGATGACAGGAGGCAGGATGGTGTTCATGAGGGAGGTTGAGGGTGTGTGGGTGGGTGGGGGGATGGCTGTGACGGTGTAGTCCTTGATCTGAGACACATCGCCTCCCTGTGCATGGAAGAGCTATAGTCATTTCTTACAGCTTTCTGGAGACAGGCAGCTCCCAATGAGCCTGCTCTGCCATTTCCAAACCTTATGACCTTGAGCATGTTTCTAACCTCTTCGGGCCCTCGGTTCTCTGCCCCTCTCCCCAGGCCCCCGCATCCCCAACATCAGATAGAATTCATGATGCAGTTGGAACAGCGACAGACACATGTCACGCCGTGAAAGACAGCTGCTATCCTCCTGTGTGGGCGTCAGTCCTGCTGTAGGCTCTGGGGACTGCGCTAGAATGCGCTCTGTGAGAAGCTCTGCTGCAGGAGTTGGTAGCCCAGAAAGGGCGGCACACTTAACACTCACAGAGCCACCCTCAGTCAAGGGACCCAGCCAACAGCACAGCTCACCAGAACTCAAGAAGCCAAAGACGCCCACGCGGTAGCCAGCAGTGACCACGATAAAGTTGCCGACGGCAGCAAGGAAGGAGCCATCGATCGCTGGCTGCCCTTCTCCCTCCATGGTGTTGTGAAAGAAGACAAGGACGGCTGCATTGGGTCCCTGTGGGGTTGGAGAATTAGAGGGGCTTGAGGCTGATCCCACTTATCCACAGGAGTGTGGCAAGGGCAGCTTTCCCTGCCAGCAGCCAGCTTCCCAGCCCATTCAGCCAGCTCCTCCCATCAGCTCTGCCTTGGAGAACACAGGGGTGCAGGTGTAGGCTGAACTGCAGCACCTCAGATTTCAGGCCGATGTCCTGACCCCCACACCGTGGTCTGGAGGTTTGGTCCTATGATTCTCTGTGTGATGATGTTGGGAGTGGTGGCCTTTTGAGAGGTGGAGACCTGGGGAAGGCCTTTGCAAAAGATTAGGGAGTATTTGCAGGACCCCCGGCTTAATTCTTACTGAGAGCTGTGATAGAAGGTGTAAACAGTCTTTGTCCAGCTCTTTGGCTTCATGTCTGGCCATGTGATTGCTTCCTATCAACTTCACTCCTGCCTAATGTCATCCACCAAGATGCCACACCTAAGGGACTTTGGACAAAGACAGGGACAGAGGGCTGATTGCAAGAAGGCACAGGGAGACACATGTCCACCAGGCAGTGAGAGAGCCTTGGGAGCAACCACACCTGCGACCCTCAGTCATGGTCCTACAGCTGCCAGAACTGTGAGACAGCAAGCTACCGCCATTTCCTAGACCTTGCTTCACAGCTAGGGGACCCAGATCCTGCACAAGGGGGGGCCTGGTTCCTGCTCTGTGGAGTGAACATGTGGCAGGGATAGTTGCTCCCTCCAGGCTTGGGGCCCAGCTCCCTCCAGGCTTGGGGCCCAGCTCACAATGCCACATGGTGTCACATGGTCCCCCAGCAACAAGGACTGACCCATGCTGGGTTGCAGAAGAGTGTTCTGGGTCCTCAGGGACTCCTGTCAGCTGGCGTCTCCTTGCCAGTAACCCTCTCATAGCTGTATGTAGCTGCAGCTTACAGGCCCCACAGTTAGAATCCACTTGTGTTGATTATTTAGTCCCCAAGCAACTCCTCAAGGTTGGTGTGTTCTTATCTTTCCCATTTTACAAACAAGGAGGAGACAGTAACTTAAAGGATGCCAGGTGGCTCATCTGGGATTACACAGGAAGAGGGAAGTAGTAGGTTTGCCTCAGGTTAAGCCTTTTTAAATATCAGAACACTTCACTCTCTCTGGGAACCCAGTGCCCCACTCCAGGCCATACTGTATACATATGGCACTGGGCAACTCATGCCTTGTCTGGATCAGGTCCTGCTACCCCAGGCGGTGAATTCTCCACTCCATGTACAATGGCCTGACACACACAGATGCTTCCATGGCAAGAACCTCCTCAAGAGCAAACACTGCCTAAGGACCTACCTCGGTGGGTGCTATGCTGAGTACTTGTACCTAGAAAGACTCATGCAATCTTCTACTTCACGAGATAGTTGCTATGACAAACATGAGCACCCTCATTCTACAGGTATGAAACCTGAAGCTGCAACTGCTCATACAGACTCGAGCTTCAAAACAGCGCACTGGTGGATTCAAGGCCCAAATCCAAAACCCGTCCTACTGCGTCAAGACATGTTTCTAGAGACTCTTCCTATGGAGCACATTTGGGTTCTACATGTGGGGACTAATTTGAATCTTGGCTCTACACTTCTTAGCCCTAGTCACACCAGCCCCAGTGCCCAGGCTGTGCTGCCCATCACTGGGTATATTGCCCTGGGTATCTCCGTGAAATATTATTGGTACTGAAAATCACCCAAGTTTCAGTGCCTCTCTTCCTGCCCATCCCCCTGAAATAGAGGCCTGTCCAGGGCAGCTCTGTGGGGTTTAGACCTGTGTCCCACCTGTCACATTGCCTGGTCATCCCACATCATCTCTGTCCAATACAATGGGGATAATGGGACCACCCCAACATGTTGCAGTGGTGAGGATGCAGAAGAGTCAGATGTGGCATGGGAAGGGTCAGGGCACCTTCCTGCTTGCTCACAGACATCAGATCCCAGCTGGCAGTGGCTGGGGACAGTGTGGCAAGGACACAAGCTATGCCGAGCATAGAGGTGCATGACCTACGTGGGCTGACAGGGGCAACATCAGCAAGCCCAAAGGGACACTCTGCAAGAAACACAACAGCAAGTGCTTCCAGACTCACCACATTCTCAGGAACGAAGACATTGAGGTACAAGCAATCTTCACTGACTCCTGGAGGCGCAGGTGTCCGGGTGCCCGGCTGCCAGCAGCTGGCCCTGCCAAGACAGAATGTGCTGTTTCCAGGAGAAGCAGCCATTGGGACATCCCCTGCCTCCCCACCCAGTCCATGGCCAGAACCTGTCACCAGCTTGAGCAACGAGAGCCAAGACTAGGTCTGGGACCATGCAACATGGCAGAGCAATGCTCATCTGCCCATAGGCAACTTGGCTCAGCACCTAGCTTCACTAGCCCCAAGCTACAACCATTCCTCACTCAAATCTCCACCGCCTCCTTGGCACCATGGGCCTGGCCTGATGCAGTCAGGTGCCCTCATCAGTGCACAGTCATGGCTTGTGCTCCCCAAGGGGTAGAACACATTTACACCCCACCTTTCCATACTACTGCTGGAGTCAGAAAAAATCTGCCCTTGGGTTTCAAATTTTTTTGCATCAAAAAAATGTATCAGTTGAATCTATTCCAACTTTTTAGGCAGTAGCCTCAAATCTGACCACAAGCAGTACTAGACAGAAAGGGTGACAATCTATGGGACACCTATTGGCAGCAAAGTGCTTGTCACAGGCCATCTGAAGGCACTTCAATTAGGAGAGCAGTTTCCATGTCAACTGTTTCAAATGACATTTGTGTGGAAGGAGTAGGCAAAACAGCATATGTTGAGAGGGAGAGAAAGGATATTTAGGCTTTAGCCAAACAAAACTCCTTGCAATATTGTTTTCTGGTGGGGAAAGCCTCCCCAGTTTTTGGTTTCATTCACTCATTTCTGTTCCCACAAATCTGACATCTTGCATCTCCTTCGGCTGTGTGCAGTCATTGCCATGCAGCTGCAGGTGACATGCAAGGGTTGTCAAGGCCATCAGAGAAAGCTTGGGTTATGCAAGAAATGATACATGCATTTCAAAATAACCTTATCTCTTAATTCCATTTTCATGAACCCTTTGAAGTACCCTTGTTTGTACCCCACTTTTTGACACGGTTGTTTCCATGGCCTCTCTTTCCTGGATGCAATGTCCAAGGACTTTTGAAAGATGGATGCTGAGGAAGGTAGGGCAAGCCTGAGTCCCCTGATCACTGGATGGACAGAGCACCCAGGTCCAAGCATCTCTGCATGGACTCTTCTAACAGTAAAGCAATCTTCAGTCCCCAAGATGTGGGCATTTATTCATTACAATATTCAATGTAACCTTAACAACATTTGATCCATCCCTGAATGCACTGCTCTGTTATGGAGTCTCGCTTGGATGGATTAGAATGGGAGAAAGTTTCTCTGGGAAGTCATCAAAACGCATTCCACTCAACTCCTACCTTGGCTTGGTGGCATCCCAGGAGCCTGTCCAGTTCAAGGGCTCTGGTGCCCGGAAGCGGCCCTCTTCCAGGGGTGGGGCAGCATAGGGAACTCCAAGGAACTGATCCACTTGCTTCCACGATGTGCCCAATTGGATGGCCAGGGACCTTCCCAGCAACCAGCCGTGGGCGGCAATGGGTACAGAAGGTGTAGATGTCTTAGAGCGGAGCCGGGGGGTGCCTGGCAAGAAGGCAGAGTGGGCAAGGAGGAGAGGTGGTAGGGAGTGATTGATTCATTGGTGTTCTGAAGGCACAAGAAAATAAAACCACTGCCATTTGCAACTTGAAAATGTCAGTAGTTCTTCTGGATCACATAGCTTAAGTCAAGTCAATTTTCCATTGAACAACAAAAACAACAGTACAGCCTGCTAATCGTTATTAGGCACCAAATACATGCTAAGGGCAGATCTAATCCCCTCCACAGTGTGTGGCTTCTTCCCAGTCAGCTTGCAAGGTACACACCGAGCCAGGCCCACAACTCCTTCCTGGCACCTGGGCCTGTTAAAGAGTTCCCAATGGAGTAGAATTCTACCCCAGATCTCCATGGTTAAGCCAAGCCATCATTGCTGTGGCCAAATATAAGGAGTCTTCCTATTAAGCGAGATAGAGGAATGAATGCAACTTTTATAGTTATTCCAGGTCAGGTTTCCCCACCAAATGTGTTTACTACAAAGTTATGAAACCAAATGACTTCAAGAACTTTGGATCTCAGATTTGCAGGCTTACATTGAAGGGCTTCTGCCAGGACCACAGGGCCATGTCAGGTTGAAAGCTCTCCTTTCTCACCGCCAGCTCTTAGCCATGCCCCTTTGTCACAGAGAGTCAACAACCAGTTCTTTTCTGCCTCTTCTGTGCCACCATTGCGAGGATGCCCACACCCACAAGAACTCCCTGTTGCTTCCTGTCAAATCCCACCTGGCCCCTAAATTCAAGCCAGGTATGCCTGCCATCCCTCCTTCGGGCCCAAAGCCACTTCCGCCCCTTCCGTGAAGTGCTAATCTCCTGCTACATTTATCAGCACCTTGGTCACCCTATCTTATTTCCTCCATTGTATTTTCTTTCATTCATTCGTCAGCTCAATAAGCCTTTGTTGAGTCCAGGCCCAGTGCCAAGAACTGTTTCCAGGGACTTGATACTGTCCTGTATCTGATTTCTGTGTCTGACTCAGGGTCTTGTATGTAAGGAACAATAAATAACATGAAGAAAGCTTGTGCCTAGGAGACAGGAGTCCTGGATGAGGTCTAACAGTCAAGTGCCAGTGTGACTGGCTGATCTCTGCAGCTTCCTCTATCAGAACACATGGCTCGTGGGCATTGGGGAGAGGAGGCAGGTGGACACAGAGATGGACAGACGGACACAGACAGAATCTCTCCATTCCTCAAGAGCTTGGCATAATGCAGTAGCTCTCAGAGGGAAGTGATTCTTTTTTAAACATTTATTTATGTATTTATTTGAAGAGCAGAGTAACAGAGAAACAAAATCTTCTTCCCACTAGTTCACTCCTCAGTTGGCCACATTGGGAAGAGCTGGGCTTATCTGAAGCCAGGAGCCAGGAGCTTCCTCTGGGTCTCCTGTGCAGATACAGGGACCATCTTTCACTGCTTTCCCAAGTTAGCAGGGAACGGAATCAGAAGTGGAGCAGCCTGGAGTTCAATCAGCGCTGCTATGGGATGCTGGTGCTGCAGACAGCGGCCTTACTTGCCACATCACAGCACATGATTTTTTGTCCCTTGGGGACATGTGGCAATTCTGGAAACCTTTTTGGTTGTTGCAAGGCTTGGGGTGTTGCTAATCACTCCACAATAGATGGAACAGCTTCCCACAGCAAGAATTCTCTGGCTGCAGATGCTAGCAGGATTCAAGGTTGAGAGGCTCTGAAATCGAGTCTGTTCACAGTCTTCAGGCCACAAAGCTCGGTGTGGGGAGCTGGAACTGATAGGAAGACACTTGAAAAAATGACAGGAAAAGGAATTCAAAGTGGGCTTAGGAGCTTGTACCGTGGCCTTTCAAGTTGGGCCACCAGCTGTGGCATTGGCATCCCATATGGGTGCTGGTTCAAGTCTTAGCTAATGCCCTGGGAGAGCAGTCAAAGACAGCCCAAGTCCTTGTGCACCTGTACCCATGTGGGAGACCAGGATGAAACTGTTGTGGCCCTTTGGAGGATCTCTCCGAATCTCAACCTCTCTGTCTGTAACTCTGTCTTGCAAATAAATTGATAAAAGAAAGAGATGTTTATTTTGGTACAAAAAGATTTAGAAATCCCTGCATCATTGTGTGTGCGTCTGTGTGTGTGTGTGATAGTCATTTCACTTGAACTTTTGGAATATTCTTCCTAAATAGTATGTACTGGGAAAACTTTGGAATCTTCTGGTCTCAATTCTTTCCATTCTGTCCCCCCCTTTCAGAACAAGAATGGTAGCAGCTCTAAAACACAGCAGGAAAAACGAAGGAGGTCTACAACATCCTGAGCCCGTGAGTCCCACACTGAATGAAGGCCTGAAAGAATGGATGAGTGAGTGGAAGGAAGAGAGGACAGAGAGGAGACAAAGTGAGTTTACAGTCTTCCCTGTTGTAAAAGCATTAGAGTACAAGCTACAACTCAGAATGGAAACCCAGAATGGAAAGAACAGTTGCTGTTATTTAATCTGGCATCAATCACAAATCACAAAGGGCTGACCTTTGGCTTCTCCTCACAAGATTTCCTGCTACAATCGTCAACCAAAGGGCCTCGGGCAGCTTTCAGCACTGTGGCTGCTGCAGTGGAGGAACCTTCTCTTGTCATACGGGAATTAGCCACATTGCATGAACGTGGCATCATCTGACGGTAAGAGCCAAGCCAGAAAAGCACAACAGCTGAAGAATTTCGAGGGAATGCAAGTTGCTTTTCCAGAGACCATGGCATGCAATCCTCTTCGCAGAGACTGCCCAGTGAGATCAAACATGGGAAAATCGTTAGATAGACAGTTCTCCCTTTGAGATCTCTTGCAGAACCAGTGGATTCTCTTCAAAACCACTCACATCATTCAGCCACATGACTACCTGGGCTAAGAGAATCTCCTGCAGCTGTTAGCTGTGAGCAAAGTCTACACAGATGCATACTTCTGCACATAACCATGAGTCTATGAAGATACATACTGCTGCACATAACCTTTCTTGGATGCGAGCATTTCCCCAGTGGAGTCCGGCCACACTACATTCATAAAGGAGTCACACACACACACAATTTGCTTCACAGAACTCAGACCTTGATGCTCAGGCCTTTCTCAGCAGCAGAGCCACATGGATGGGCTGCATGCAGTGGTGAAGCACACTGTTAATATCAGTCTCCCTTGACTAAGCAATCCAGTGTCCAAATGAAAAGGAGATAGTACCAGAAGCAGAAGCTGTAAGACCTCCACAGGTAAGAATCAAAGTATCCCCAGATGTGAGGGCTCCCAGCCTCAAGGTTAAAGGATGAGGCTGAAAGGCAGAACAGGGCTGTAGGGCTGGAAATGCTCAGAGATGAGCTCACCCACCACTCTCAGCACTAATGTAGGGACCAAACGATAGAAAAAAAGAAATGTAAAAGAATGTTCTGGACGTATAAAACAGTAATGAACAGTGGTCTATTTAATCTTTTTCTGGGAAATTCAAAGGCCAGAAATGGACATAAAAATAGTTTTTTCCTTACTTTCCTTCAGTCTACTCCAGGTGAGTGCTATCTGGCCCAGGATAACTTGGGTCAACTTTATCCAGAATTAAAGCCCATTGCCCACCAAATTTCCATGTGAACATCATTCACAGCCATACCCAGATTGCTCAGGAATGGCCCCAGAGATATAGCCTGGGCCTACCTGGCTTCCTGTAGATGTGGGTGGCCTCTTCACGGAGCAGAAGCTGACAGGTTTGGCCCTGTAGGCTATGGGTACAGATCTGGGTATCAGCATAGAACATGCACCTCACAGCTCCAGGTCGGGTCTGAAGAGTGGTGACAAGGCAGTCCTGGTGACTGGAGCATTCTGCAGGGAACAGGAGGAAGGAGGACCTCAGAGCTGTTACATCAGTGATGCCTGCAGGTTTTGATCCAGGCATACATCCACCCATCATCTCCCTATCCATCTACTCACTCACCCACCTGCCCATCCAGCTATGTAATCACTCATTCATCAAAATACCAACTAAAAATCTCAGTTATTATACCAAGAGCTGGGAAATAAAATGGTAGAGACTGAGAGCCCAACTGCCCTATCAATCTATTTTCCACACTACAGATAGGGATATGTTTGCTCAACTCAGAAATGTGTTCTTGTTATTATTGTTGTTATTATTTTGCTTAAAATGTGTCCAGGGATCCTCATGGACTTGAAGATTCAGTCATACTGGACAAGGTTCTCCATACCTCAGCTCTTGCCATCCTCTTCAGCCTCTCCTCCTGTTGTCCACTTTAATTCTTCCACAGCTGGCTATTCATCCATCATGTTCCACCAGCAATCATGTCCTTTCCACCACAAATCCCAGGTACTGCACCTACACTTAAACTACTGCCTGGCATTCAGTAGTGAGCGCAGCTCTGAAAATAGCACTGCTTCATTTGACAAGGGAGGCTGTGCATGGCTTCAAGCCCTGTGCATTACCCAGGTTCTGAATGGTACCAGCCAGAGTGGTGCAGTGTACCACCTATTCTTCTGTACATGATGGCCCAGTCCGTATGATAAACATGGCTTTGAACATTTTCATATCCAACCATGCAGGAAAGGAGAGCCATGAAAATCACAGAATCTTGAGTGCATTCAGAATCTTGGAGGGGTGGAAGTGATACCCAATTTCAGCCTATTTTAGAAGTTAGAAGTGTTTATAGAAGTCCTAATGAAGCAATTACCTAGGATTTATTTGATTACCCCTAGAATTTACCACCCATGACTAGAATCACTGGAACATCTGTGGGCAGGTTTGAATATTTGAAAGTTGTTTTTTGTTTGTTTTCTCCAATAAAAAGTCTCTCTTGAACTTTTTTTACCCTTTAGATTTAGCTTTGCCCTAGGAGATGGGTCAATCCTAGTGTATCTCCTCACTATGGCAGCCCACCAGGTACCTAGGGGTAGATGTCATAGCCATTTCCCTTGATCCTCCGTCAGATCCTCCTCTGGCCTAGCTCAAGGTTGCGCTGTCACTGGCTGCTTTACCCCCGCAGGCTCTAACTACTGACTGCCCATTGAGAAACAGAAGGTCCCACGCAGGCATTCTGCAGGAAATGTCCCTCCTGCGAGGCCCCTGAACTTCTTGTAGGATGTCCTGTGTGCTTCAAGATCAGATTCGGAGGCAGCGCTGGCATTGGATTGTTTCTCCCCATCTCGAATACAAGCTCTCCTTACCCAGCAAGCACAGGTCTTGAGCAGCAGAGAAGTTGCTGATGGCAGCCGTGCTGATGTGGGCGACATCAAACTTCCTGATGGTTGGATCAACAACTACTGACGACAGGGTCAAGGTCTGCCACGAATCCAGAGGGACTAGGAGAGAAAGGGGAGAGCAGTCACAGCACTAGCATCTGGTGTACAACAGGCAGTGGGGTGTTACCCAATGTGCAAGAGTAATCCTCCACATGGTCTCCGCTCTCACATGAGAGGCCTTTATAAATATCCCCATTCTACAACTATTTGTTAAGGTTTTTTTTTTTTCCTATGATTCAAGCTCCAGGGATACATTGGTTAAAAAAAATTCAACCAAGAAAAGCATGTCTACTCTGTTTTATCAATTCATAGCAGAATGAGAACCAAACAGAAAAGACAAGAAAATCATTGTGATACAACTGTCAGAATGGAACGGTTAGAAGAATCAGGTAGCAATGATAATAACAGGCTTAGCAGGTTTGTTCTACAGCACCACGCTTCCTGTGTGTATGGCAATATGATACTGTCCTCCTCCAGCCTGAGGCTTTGAGTACACACTCCGATGGGCTGCTCAGTGCCCCATCAGCGTCCACCAGACATTCTCCTTTGCTTAGGTATAGGCTGCATTTAAAATCTAGTCTGTGAAAGCAGATCAAAGTCCCTAACCTCAACATGGGACCACTGAAAGGTCAGCCTGGCTTCAGAGCTCCCTGGGAGAACTGTGGCCCACTGCTTGACTTGCATTAAAATGCTTCTTCCAGGGCAGGTATTTGGCTTAGCAGTTAAGTTGCTGCTTTCGGATGCCTACATTCCACAGGGTGCCTGGTTAGAGTCCTGCTTCTCCGCTTTTACTCTGGTTTCTGTTTAATGAGACTGAAAAGGAGAGACCTAGCTGGGACTTCCAGGCCCCTGGCTTTGGGACACATAACCCCGTCCTGGCTGTTATGTGCACTCAGAGAGTGAACCGACAGATGAAAGATTGGCTTCTTTTTTTCCCCTTCTATCTCTCTTTATGCTTTACAAATAAGATGAAAATAAAATTTTTAAAATAAGGAAAAAAATTTTCTTCCCAATGCTGTCCTCACTTTTTTAACAGATGCTAATCCTGAGAGTTCCATGTACAAAACTTTCAACATGCAAATCTTCATCTCAGAGACTGTTTCCTGGAAAGCACCAGCAAAGACATCCTCTTCCGAACAAGAAGAAAGTGGGACACAGACAGGTTTAAGTAGCGTGTCTGAGGGTGCCCTGCTCCTGCACTCTGCAGTGAGGTGAGAACTGGCCCACGGCAGTTACACAGCCGGTGTCTGTCTCCCTGTGTGCAGGACACAGCTGCTTCAGTGTGGAGGAGGGAAGAACAGGTGAGGAGTCAGATGGAAAGCCTGGACCGAGGTGGAGAGCTAGCCTAGAGCTCATCCTGTGAGCTGAACTGGTCTTGGCTATAGCTGGGCAGTGGGTTTCTCTGAGAACACAGATCTTGAATCTTTGGCACAAAGCTCCACCAGCAGGAAGGGCTGTGAGCCTAGTCAGTGGGTATGACAGTGTCCACAGGTAGCAGCAAGGAGGCTAATATGCTGCCTCCGACAGAGGCTCCCATGGCCATCTGGGAGCTTGGATCTACAACACCCTAGAGCCATGTTCAGCAGGCGCATCACTGGGACTTAGTGGAGAGGGTGTCCTCTCTTGTTCTTTCTGCTTCTTCTTTTTTTCAAAGAAGAATAAAGTAGCTTGTTCTTTTAATACTCTGAGCATTTACCTTGCATTAGCAGAACATGATGGCAATAAAACACATCTGAATGCCCATTAAGTGGACAGTGGGAAGGGAGCCTAATGCCTTCTTTATAGAACGAGGGAGACGGGTTCATGTCTGTCCAAGTCAGAAGAGAACAAGGTCTCCTGGCTCTAAGACACTGCTCTCTGTGCTCCCTCGATCTTCCCTGGAGCTGAACAGCCTTTCCAGAAGACCGTCTCCAGGAAAAAAGACTCCGGAGAGCACCATTCGGGTAGCTGTACGGGAAAGGTGCTGATGTTCATATCACATCTATCATTGGCATTTAGAACACTGTAAGGTTCACTAAAGCAGCAAAACAGCCTGCTCCACTGTTGTCTTTATCACTGGAAAAGAGAGAAGGAGAAAGCTCGCTTGCACAGGTGGCTATGCAGTATCTGAATCTCGTGTAACTCAGCAAGGGACAGGTGGAGCCCCAGCCACCATTCTGGAGCCACGGGTCCTCCCTTAGAATCAGGAGTTGTGCATTTCCAGCCTAGAACTTGGCTTTGCCACAAAAGAATTCTGGGTTTTCATTTTCTTAAGGTTCTTTCTCATGTTGCTATTTCCACAGTGTATGCAAGCAGCATTTTTTGCATCACCAAAAGAGCTGGGTATTTTTAGATGCTGAGTACACTGCAATTTCAGAGATCGGGGGGGCACACTTGCCAAGTACAGTCTTAAAATGGAAGCCCCAGCCACACTCTGTGTTTAGGTTGCTGTAATTGAAGAGTGAATTCTACCTTTAAGTGAAGGCCTGCTTATCTGTTGCCATTCACTGGAGCCAAGGCCTTGCCATGCCCTCTTTCTTTTCCCTCTTCCAGCATACAGAAGCCTCTTGGGGAGTCTTTGCTGTTTGTGCAGAAGCCAATATCTTGAAGTCCCTGTGGACCTCAGGGAACTTCTGAGAATAAGTTCACTGTGGATGCAAAAGCATGAGGAAGCCTGGGAGCTGGGGATGAGCATCCGGTCAGTGTTTGCTGTTTGCCAGGAACCCACTGCAGCCTTGCATGTAACCCTTAGCATGGAAACTCCTGACGGGGCCGGGGGAAGGTGCTTTTACCACCCACAGCTTGCAGACAAGGAACCTGATGATTTCATAGCACACACTCAGCCCGTTGGCTGAGCCCATGTTAGCTTAGACAGCTCCATGATAGCGTTGGCCAGAACTGGAGTCTCGGTGCCCTAGGGACAGGACCCCAATGGAGGACCCTACAACAATGGCTCCTCTCTTAAACAGCACAATCTGAAACTTATTCGTTCTATTTCATTTTGTTTCTCTAAATAATTTTAGGGCTGGCATTGTGGTGTATCAGGTTAAGCCTATGCTTTTGATGTCAGCACTCCATATAGGTGTTGGTTTGAGTCCTGGCTGTTCTACTTCTGATCTGGCTCTTTGTAAGAGCACCTGGGAAAGCAACAGAGGATGGCCCAAGTACTTGGGCCCTTGCACCCAGGTGGGAGATCCAGAAGAAGTCTCTGGTTCCTGGATTTGGCCTGGCCCAGCCCCAGTCACTGTGGAGTGAGCCAGCAGAAGATTCTCCCTCTAACTCTCCCTCTGTAACTCGGTCTTTCAAATAAGCAGAAAAAAAATATTTAAAAAATTCTTTGTAGGTTGTAATGTTGGTGTCATCTTCTAAAAGTACAGCCTCCTGTGTATCTGAAATGCATACGTATCACATGTTGCATGCTTGCAGGTGCAGTGAACTTTTTTAGTGGTTTTTTCTCCTTCATTTGTCTCTCTGTACTTTCTCACTCTTTTCTGCCCTGTAAATGACAGTCACTTTATAAGTAAGTGCATTATCACGTAGTGACAGAAGCCTTTCCCCTTATTTTGCTTTATGAAATGTTTTATTGGTTATGCATAATTTTGGGTGAAATTTAAAACCAAGAAAGTGCATTTGAGTTATTACTGGGAATGACAATGAGGTCATTTGAGAATCATTGGCTGTCACCAATTTAAGAAGCTTATAATTTGAACTTTATTGTGTTTAATAACTTATTGTCATTAAGTATCATTAAGAATCGAATGAAATATTTTTTTCCATTCTACTTTTAAAATGACCATTTATTTATGAGCTTTTATTTTCAAAACAAGACACCTTCCTGAACTCACTTTGATGCAACTCAGACACTTGGTCAACTTGGGCTGCTCTAGAAAAACACTTGAAAATATGGCTGGGGCTGGCCTCTGGCACTGCAAGTTAAGCCACCATCTTGGATTCCAACATCTCATCCAAACACCTTTTCAGGTACCTGCTGCTCAACTTGGAGTCCAGGTTCCTGCTAAAGAGCCTGGGAAAGCAGAAGAAGATGGCATGATTATTTGGGGCCTTGCTATTCACATGGGAGACTCATATGAAGCTCCTAACTTCTGGCTTTGGTTGACACAGGCCCAGCCATTGAGCCCATTGGGTAGCAAACTAGCAGATGGAAGATCTCTCTCTCTCTCTCTCTGTGTGTGTCTCATAATCTTTCTGTAATTCTATAGAATAAATAAGCCAATCTTAAAAAATAGGCTGCCTCCCCCAATGTGACAGCCAGCCACAGGCTGCACTACCACAGTAGGGGCATGCGTGTGTAGGCTGACTAGTTGGGCACTAGTTCCTGCTGCAACCCTGACCTGTCACATTTGAGAAATGAAGGGAAAGCATCTTTCAGCATTTTTTGCATGAGATCAAGGTGTTGATTTGTCAAAGCAGCAGAAAATGTCTGATGCTCCCTCCAATGAGCACATACTTGCAGAGCCATTTGCTTAAAGAAAAAATACAACTTTCTCAAAACCACCAAAAATAAAGAGCAGCTAGTAGTGTAAGCTCTCAGGCCTCCAAAGTGATTCAAATTCTTACGCTTCCATTGTGACTAGTACAGAAAAGAACTCCTTCCAGGTCTTCAGCACGTCTCCCAGGGAGTTCCTTCCCCAGAAGCTGGAGGAAGCATCAGTGGGCCCCTACCCACGCAGGCTGGAGGGGAGAAGTGGGAAGAGCAAAGGTCAGAGGCCTTTAGACTGAACAGCCCCAGTTCCCAGCAAAGCAAAGCAGCATGCACTTCATGCCCTATGGAGGTAACAGAGTTTAGAATGAGGTCACCAGAGGGGATTCCTAATGCAGGGCCCTGTCCAAAAGGGGAAACTGGCACAGAGGCAGTTCCTAAGAGGTGGAGGGTGAAGACCCAGAAAATATACTGCCCACAAGACCTGGGACCTCAAAACTTCAGATTAACAGGTGGATCCTGCTCCCACCTGACACGGGACTTGCAGCATTCAGATCTGCAAGGCAGCTTCTGCTGGATAAGCCTCACCGTGCGCAGCCCTTGCCATAACAGCTGCCAGCCAAGGATGCCCTAAGTGCAT